AGAACATGTATTGAATGCCAGATATTGCAGAGATTCAATACCAGATTGATAGAACTGTGGGATAAATTCTGCTGTGTATGCAATCAGTTTCTCATCATCATTCATGAAATTAACATTCTTCTTCATAGAAGTGAATGTAGAATGATAGTCATTTATTAAGAACTTCTTCAGAAGATTTCTTACAAAGAGAGATTAAGACAATATCAATGAAGTTGAATCTCTATCAATCTTTATTTCTAGATAGTGATTGAAATTCTCTACATTCTTAATCTCATAATTAGCAGTGATTTTAGCTTTGGCCCAGTTCAGATCTTTGATTTTTGAGCTGTAAAGATGAACATTATTCATATAGATGATTATATAGATCTGTCTTTCATCATGAATAAATAGTCTAGTATTATAGAGACTGATATGAAAGTCTGAGTGTAATAGCATCTTTCACAGCTTCTCATATTATAAGAGTGCTGCTTACTTAAGACTGTAGAGTCTCTGCATCAACTCACACACAAGATCATCACAGTCTTCACAGAATTCTGTGAGTTGATTTATATATATTCATTCATCAGCAGACAGTTGAGTATTTAAAAAAGCAGTTATTATATCAATCTGCAGAACATATCATCCCTGGGATGCTGAGATTGTCATGAGAGCTTGTGAGATAAATGCAGAGACAATGAGTGCAAAGATTCTTGAGTAATTGACTTTCTTCTATTGAAGATTTCTGCAGACAATTCAGTGAGTCTTATCACAGATAACATCACTCATATTATTGAACTTTTTATCAAATACTCATTGACTGTGAAGAACACTCATTTGTGATGTTCTCTTAATCAGTTATCAGGTCTCTATCTGTTTCAAACAGTTGATCTCTTTAATGCAGGCCTTGTAATAATACTTTCATTTCATGGAAGCTTTGATGCGTGTGAGGTTTTTTGAGATCAGAAGTACAGTGATCTCAGAATCAGTGAGTAGGTCTTTAAGACTGTTCCTCACTGAAGATTCCCTCACTGTTAATTCCTTCTCTATAGTGATATTCCTTGTAGATGTTGAAGAATTATCAGATTCAACTGTGAGTTCTGAGGAGTTCAGTGTATTCTGCACTAAAAGAGTAGGTATTCTCACGGAGATTTCATAGTCAATCCATCAATTATTAGTGGATATAAGAAATAATGAACACTCAGGTTGAATTTTCTCATCAATGAACAGATCAGGAATCACTGCAGTCTCTTGACAGGTCACAGTGAGTAGGTCTGATGTTGTCAAAGAAATCATCACAGCTGCTTTGCAGGCTGCATTGAGTAGAACCTTCGGGTTGTGCATTGTAGTTGATATTGATGAATCAGCAAGATGAAGGTCCTTCTGAAAGATGATGTCTTTTGATATGTATAAACACCTGTTGAAGGGGTTCATCAATCTATAATTGATAAAATCATCATATCTCACAAAAATCAACTCTTTGAAACAGGAAGCCATCTTATTGATGAGCTTGAAGACTATCTTCAAGAATGCTTTGCAACCTTATCAGTGAATGCCGCGTGCAGAGAGTAGAGCTTCAAGCCAGGCCTTATACAGTGTAATTGGCTTTGTATTTTCAGAGTTCTCATACAATATTGTTGAGATTGGCATAAGGTTAAGCAGCTCTGTGACTGTAATAACTGTCTCATCTCACATCTTTTCCAGAGTTGAAGAGTCTATTAAAAGTGATCAGAACTTCTCAATAATCAAACTGATTGATTATTTGAATACTTCATCTTACTGTGAAGTATGAGAAGAAGTCAGCTCTCATTTTATATCTTCACTGAGCATGTATGTCATGACTGCATTTGAATTCAATTCTTCACAATCTGAGTGAATGATTGTAATGTCACATCTCAGCAGATTCTTAATGAATTGATTGAAAATCTGTAGATATCTCAACATCTCATCCTTGTGTTTCAATAGAAATATTTATCTCATATAAGTGGCATTATCTGTTATCATCATTGCAAGCTTCTTATCAGTGTAAGATAATATATCATTCTCAGTTTCAAGAGTCTCATCATCACTGAATATATTCACTCAAATCTTCAAGATCTTGTGAGTGATATGATGTGGTGTGAAATTCTTATAGAAAGCATGTTTCTGTTTAAACTTAATATATGTAGCACAGAATGATAATTTCTTCAGACTGATAATAATAATATTAAATTGCAGATCTCTGATCATTTTTAATATACTATTTTCACTGATATAATCAAGTCAGTGATGTCACTCATCTATCAGAAGCTGTTTCAGAAGAACTGCAGATAATCAAGATAAAGATGAGATAATAAAGAAATCAGTATCTGAATTTCTAGAGTTGATTAACTATTTAACCTTCTCACAGCTGAAAGACCTTAAAGACTCAGTACTTGAATTGTAATCTGTTGAGATTGTCTTTGATTTCAGAACAGTCACATATATCACTACTTTATACATTGAGTTGTTCATTATCTTATGAAATGTCAGTGAGCTGTCAGATAGAATGTAAATATTATTGTAAGATAGATTAATATAGAAGATATCACTGTTAATAGATAATAGAAACTCAAAGTAGTTCTTAGTATTAATTTATATATTATAGTAAATATAGCTCTGATGTTTCATAAGCTCAGCAGAGATCAGATTTGTGAATAGTTCTGATACATAGTATATATAATTGAATTCTATCAATCTTTTATTCACTGAGATAAATACAGTGCTGATACTCTGAATCTTTATAATAATCTTATTGATCACTTGAACTGTTGAATCATTGATTACTATAAGTTCTGAAAATCATAATCTATCACTCACTATGTGACATTCAGTGTCACTATTTCATATAGTGAGAAAATCCTTGAGAGATTTCATAAAACAGACTGATATATTGATAATCTCTGTGAGATTTGTTATCTGATAGATCTCTAATTTATCTGTAATAAATAGTTAGATTCTACTCTTACTATTATTCTTTTTCTTCTTTTCTTTGAATTTCTTTATTCTCACAGTATTGTTTATTCTTCAATTATTCAGAGTACTATCTGAATTGACTTATTAACAGGTATTAAAGTGAGATCTCTCATATTCAGAATATGTAGATGAATTTTCTAATCTCTGATAGTTTCAGAAGCTCTTTTGTATACTATTATAATCACATTCAGTACAGTCTTCACAGGCTGAATTTAATGTATTATTGCTGATAGTCAGTGTGACTGTTATAGCTGTTATAGCTGTTATAGCTGTTATAGCTGAGTTAGCTGCAGAATCTATATTCTGCAGATTCTTTTTATCTTTTGAAGAATTAAGTCATGAACAGATTTTCTTCATGAGAAGATTAACATTCAATATCACAGCTGTGAATTTGAAATCCTGTATCTTTTCTATCTTCTTCTGAATATAATTTCTTCAATTATTGAGTAAAACTGAGTAGAAGATATTAAATATTTATATATCTGAGAGAGAAGCATTCAACATCTTCAATTTCATAATGACAGACTGAAACTTATTAAAGAATGTATGTAGATTGATGACCTGTGTGTCACTAAGAGACATGAATTTCAGAACTGTCTCACAGTATAACTATGTTTTGAGAACAGAGTATTTCTGTTTAATTGTATTTCATAGAGTATAAGTGATCTGACTTTCATTATATTTGAAGAAATATGATCTGACACCTGCATTCAAGAAGTTCAAGATGAATGTATAGAGTCACTGATTTCTGACATCTCAGAATAATACTTATTCATTATCTTTTTATAGAGAGTTCTGAGTCTGTTGTTTCTCTATTATATATTAACACTGTGTATCAATCAGTTTCAATTTCATGAAGATGCTTTATATAATGTAATTGAATGTATCAGTTAGACTGTTTAATCTCACAGTATTCTTAACATCTTTCTTAAATTAAGAGATTGTCTTGTTAACACAGCTATTCAGTTTATAAAGATTGAATTTCAATCTTTCACTGAGATTAGAATTTCATATGACTGTACAGACTGTTGATATAATAATAGAATAATTATTAACATTCTGTGATTAATCTGTAGAGAATCTCTATTGACAGAGTTTTTTCAGTTATAGTTTAAGTTCTAGAACTCTTTACTTCTTCTTATTCATCTTAAGTATTATCTTGAGATACTTTATCTGTTAATCTGATATTATCTTATCTGAATAGTAAATATCTGAGTGTTCATTATTCTCATCAAGAGAATCAGCTTTATCAAGCTGTTAAGTAGATTGAAGAGCTGACCTGACTGTGTCAGAAGCTATATTCAAACCAGCTTTGAATTAAGAGAGTGTTTTGAGACATTTATCAATGAAGCTTTCAAAGACTTCAGAAGAATATTCACTGACAGAGTATAAGTGTAAAGAATTATTATCATCAACTGTAACTGATTCAGTGAAAAGAATGCAAGATTACAAATGTGTATATAAGTAGAATCATGTTGAATTCATTATCTTAATATACATTTATTGAATTCTTGTCAATATCATTCTCTTTTCTTGCTTTTTTTCAAATGTGATGCATTTTCTGCAAGCCTCTTTTTTTTTTTTTAAGCAAGCAGTAGTATTATTGATCATCAAGATCTCAAATACATTAATACTGATAGAATAAGATAATTTTAACTTCTGATGAGTGTATCAAATGAAGCAGTAGTTTAAATAATGATTATATTAACAAGAAATCCTGAATTGACAGTGATTTTGTATAAAACAGGTCTCATAACCTGTGAAAGATGTAAAGCTTGTGTGATTGAAAGGTTGCTAGCTTGTGAAAAGTTATATAGTGGAAGGATTAGTAAGCCAGATCACGTGACCTGACAGAATTAGTATAGAAATTAACAAGACTTATACATTTCAAAATTAGCTTCACTCTGAAATTCTCATTCTGCTATTAATATAATACAACCTTCAACTATTCTACAGAATAAGACAGAATTTAACTTTCAATCTCAGTTTTATCTTGATTTTTGAAGAATGATTATCTTTCACTGTTTATTCTGAGAAATTACTTTCATTTCACTATTCTTAAATTAAATCTGGTCATTTTTCACACTATTTCTGAAAAAAATGATTCATTTTCACATTTTTTTGATGCTAGGTGGACTCACACCAAGAAATGTATGAGACCAGACCAAATGAGACCAAATGTGAAATTCATGGTCCCGCCGGCCAGTCTAAACTGGACACAACTTCCACAAGTGGGTAAATTCATCACATCCTGGCAGAAACGCGATATGTATTATATTCTGGAAGCATACAACAGATGCGGCCTATTGGAGTTTAAAAAAGGCGCAAAATTGAGTGCTACACAACATCGCAAAATCCCGGGAATCAATCCGGAAGCAAAAATAGAGGATATATGATGATTTTCATCAGCCAAACTGCCCGATGATTGTCTGTAGTACACAGCTTTATCTATATACAAATTATCGCCAGCACCAAAAAGATCACGAAACAACAAGTTTTAGTTAATCCCCCAAAAGTGGGGAAATAGAAAAAAATAAAATGACTAATCAAGCTATCCACGATCACCCCTTAATATGGCGCTAAAAAAGAGAAAGGGCCCTGATATACATGTTTGCCGGCTGCGGGTAGGGCTGCCATGGCAGGGGTCGAGAGGTGGCGGGTAGTGAATTTATGCCAACAGCATCCGTCTTGGATCTTCGATATACTCCTTAATCTACAGAAGGGGTCAGTAAACGAAGACAATTTCCAAGGGGGGAAACTGACCTTAACTAGGAAAGTAACGGCTTCCCGACCATCCAAGAGGCGGTGATCGTAGGTCAATGCAAGGTACATCATCTAAACGGTACTTTAGTCATATCCATATAGAGGAATACGAGTTAACACAGGGGGAAAACTTACAGGTCTGATCTCGATCTTTCCGTTAACGACGACTGGCTTGTCCTTGATAGCATGCAGGCCGAGCACAGCTATAAAAGCCCCGTAAGTATGATATGACCATATTATGTGTATTCTAACCGGATGAAAGAGGCTCCTTACCTGTTTGCGGAAGATTGATGATGGGTGTACCCATCAGAGATCCGAAAACGCCTCCCTGGAAATGGTGTTAGTGAAACGCAGCCGCTACAGGGTGGTTTGAGAGCAACTTACGTTGCTAATGGTGAAGGTGCCACCGGCCATATCCTCGATGGTCAATTTGTTATCACGCGCCTTTCAAAATGTCAATTAGCATGTCCGTCGCTCAAGCGGGGGTAGTATGGAACTACGTCACGCAAACACACCTTTTTACCCAAGTCTGCGATCGCCTTCTCAATACCAATTAGCTCCATGGACTCAGCGTTTCGAACAACAGGGGTGACCAATCCCTTTTCCGTCGCTACCGCAACGCTGATATCGACGTAGTCTCTATAGACAATTGTATCACCGCCATTAGGACCTTCAATAGACGCATTGACAGTTGGAATATCCCTCATAGCCAAGACACAGGCACGGGAGAACGCGCTCATGAAGCCCAATTTTACACCGGTTTTCTTCAAAATATCGTCCTTGTAGAGTTTACGGAATTCCATGAGAGATGACATGTCCACTTCGTTGAAGGTAGTGAGTGATGCCGCGGTATTTTGAGACTGCTTTAGGCGCTCCGCGATCCGTAGCCGCATGCGGTTCATTTTTACCTATATGATTGTCAGCTAAGATAGACCTTTGATAGCGATCTTGCGGGTGAAAGGACTAGGGGGAACTTTACTCTGCGCTCTTCTCGGTTTCCAGGGGCTGGCTGGGATGCCTGGGCGGGCTCCGGTTTGGACGTGGATGGCTTCTGGGCGGTGGGCTCTGGCTTTGGTGGAGGAGGAGGAGCTGCCTTTTCTTCTTGCTTCGGTGGTGATTGTGGTGGGGAGGGAGCAGCCTCTGATTTTGCTTCTGGCTTTTCTTCTTTGGGTTTCCCAGGAGCGGCTCCGCCGGTCTCCAGCTTCACGAGATCTTGACCAACAGTAACGGTGTCCTCCTCGCTGGCAAGGAACTCTTTGATCGTGCCAGCCTCTGGAGCGTTGACGGTGATATCGATCTGGAACAGGCGTGCGTGTGAGTAAGGAGTAAGTTCTATGTAAAAAGAATAAAACATGGATAAAATGGTAGCAATATTCACCTTGTCTGTTTCTATAGTTGCAAGTTCCTCGTCTCGTTCAACATACTCGCCGATCTCTACACTTATGTGTCAGCATGATTCCATCAATTGGCAAGACATACAGCGGAGAAAGCACCGACTAAGGTAATAATAATAGAGATCTCACTTTTTGAAAACTGTTTTAATGTTCCTTCCGATATCGACTCGGCCATCTGTGGTACCTTGACAATCGAATCCGCTGCTAGGCTCGTTAGAAACGTCGCGACGCAAAATAAAAATTTGACAGTGGGGGTCGGGTATAACAACCGTAAGTTCGTCGCTGAGTGCCCATAAACAGCGGCGTTTTCGAAAGCGCAATAGTTTGTCTACGCAAATAAATGGTTTATTTGAGTCATGAACTTGCGACACGGAATTGGAGTACAGAGCGCAGTAAAGTTGGGATATATACCTCAATGGAACGTGCGAGCTCATGACGGTGGTCTGTGTAGTTGTTCTCAGACAGCCATTGGATTGCGATACTCGGCTGAGAGAGGACGCAGCCCTGCAAGAGATTGAGCCGGGAAAAGCATTTCGAGAACCGAGTAGCATATTTCTCGACATCTGTCGCGGGAGTTGTAGTCGTGGAGCCATGGTGATTGCGCGCTATATAAGTGTAAATAAACTAGACTCAAGGCTGGGAATCAGAATAGAGAGGGTTACGATACAAAAACAGGGGGGAAATGACAGGACGATAAAACCGAAGAATAATATCAGCAACGAGTGCGTGGATGCACACGGGGAGAGATGTTAAGTATTCCCGAGGAGCGCGGGAATGAAGCTGGCTTCTTGTTCTTGTTTGTGGTAAGTTAAATATAATAGCTGAAACCGGAATCGAGGTGGATGGATGCGGAACAGGAACATCTTCTCTCCCGCCGTTGCCGGGCCCAGCCCAGCATCACAACCACCGCCTCGAACGCTGTCTACAGGCAAATATCGCCCAGTTTTCCACCACTTTACCCGGCTCCCAATTGGCGCAGCTCAAACAGGTATCCATACTGACGCTGTCTTGCCACTTAGCTGCGGATATTTTAAATACTCAATTAATTGTCGCCTGGGTTGGGGCCACACACAATTCTTCATCCGCCATCATGACGCCCAACCCAACAGCACTGTAAGCTGCTCGCAGAATTACCCCAGACTACAATTGCACTTCATGTTGATCCCGCATATACTAATCGCATTTATCTCCTCTTTCTGAACAGGTCTCTCTACCGACGATCCCTCAAGCTCGCCCTCGATTGGGCCGTCCATCGCCACCTATGGCGTGGCCAGGCTGTGTATATCCGTTCGCTCTTCGATGCAAATAGGGATGTGCGGGAACCTCGACAACAGAAGGTATGAGCTATACTGTTTAGCCAGAATTGATATATATAAGTATCTATCTATGTATACTATGTGGACTAAGAGCTATGGTTGACATATTCGTTAGATTTTATTCCGGGAGACCGAGAAGTTGCTCGATGAGTGGAAACACCCTGATCCCTACAGAGCCCCGAGTGCCCCAGGCGGTATGTTCCCCCCTCCCCCCCTCCCCCCATGTTTTTCTTTTCTTTTCTTTTTCTTTTCTTTTGATGAATGGATCAACCGCATTGCATGGTTCTATTTTTTTTATTTTCCAATGACTCGCTAACAATTTGGTGGGCAGGGAGCAAATACGAGCGAAATATGGAAACGCCTATCCTAGAGTGTACGTTGGAAAATTCTATAACTCCTCCCACCTTACACACGTGTCATATCTGGTATAGAGTTGAGCCATACTAACTAGTATCCGATATCTAGTGGGCAAAGCACAACACGAGGTAATGGAGGAAGAGGAACAGAGAAACCGCGAGACCGCAAGGATCAACCAGGCGAGAGCGCAAAGGCAGAAAGAGGACGAGCAAGAAGCGATCAGATTCGAGAATGCGCAGAACGGTCGGTGATTTCGTATGTGTGTTGCGTGTACGTGTGCAGCCCAGGGCTGCTGAGAGCTCTGCTATGTTCTATTATTTTATAGAGAGAAAGAAAGAAAAAGAAGAGACGTCTCAAAAAATAAGCCCTTTTTATGTATATAACTAAATATTTCCTTTGGGTTTGTCTTATTTAATCGCAAGTATTTCTCGGTTACTGGTTGTTTTCGTTTGAAATAGGCACATACCAATGAGTGCCAATTCAGAATGTGCCCTGTCGAATACCAAGAAAAAAAAACCATGCGCAGATCAGATCCTCCTTATTAATAGCATGTCCTTTCTCGCTCGTAGAGTTGCAACTTATCAATGGCTCTCTTTGTTCAATTCAAAATGTGAAACAGCATCACGGATCCCCCTTTAGTCAATGCTAGTAAGTTGGTAAAAACCGACTCGGTATTTTCCAGATATCGTGATTAGTTTCGTAGATCAACGAAAGGCTAGATTGGCTTCTCGACGCGCCTCAGCGGAAATTGAGGAGGCCAGAGCAGCGCGACTTTCCAAATCGTAATTGCAATAGAACATCAGGGTAAGGTTTTCCCCCATTATAGAGAGAAAAATTGAAAGAAAAGAATTAAAAAGAATTAAAAAGAATAATAGGCCTTCAATTTCGATGAATCAAGCTATAAAAAGCGCAAGATCACCAGCACACGTCGAAATATGCTTTCACGGGCGATACACCGATTTAAAGATCGCCCACCCGCACCGATTTGCCATCCGGGACGTAATGTACACCATTAAAGAAAAAGCAAAGCAAACAAAAACCATAAAAAAGAAACTTTGCCCAACCAGAATCCCATGATCACGTCAGAAAACCCAGACTGCGCCGAAGAATAAGAGCAAACAGAAAATTCGAGAGGCATAAGAAAACAAAAACAAAAAGCAGCTTAAAGTTCAACGCTGGAGGTGGGGTTCTTTGCGCCCTTGCCGGACTTCTTGGGGAGGAGGTTCAGGTGGATGTTGGGCAGGACACCACCCTGGGCGATGGTGACGTGACCGAGAAGCTTGTTCAATTCTTCATCGTTGCGGATGGCGAGCTGGAGGTGACGAGGGATGATACGGGTCTTTTTGTTGTCACGGGCAGCATTGCCAGCCAACTCTAGGATTTCAGCAGCCAGGTACTCAAGGACGGCAGCGAGATATACGGGAGCACCTATTAAACGCGTTAATATCGAAACCTCACATCAAAATAGGAGATGACTAACCAGCACCAACTCGCTGAGCATAGTTTCCTTTGCGCAACAGACGGTGGACACGACCGACTGGGAAAGCGAGACCGGCCTTGGAAGAGCGACTATTGAGAGAAAAAACGACAAGTTAGACGGAATTCAATCGAGGGATGTATATATAGTGTGTACATGTCGTGTCACATCACACACGATTAAAAGGGCTGGAATATCACGTACGATTGCGAGGTCTTGCCGCCGCTGGCCTTTCCTCCAGATTTGCCTCCAGTCATTTTGAATAAGGTTGTTTTGGTTTGGTTTGGAAGATAGAGATATAGTGGTTGATGGAGAGGGCAAGCGGTAGCAGTGGATATATAAGCACGAAGTAGAATGGAAGCTGGATGATGGAGCAAAACAAGAACAGAGGAGAGAGAGAACAGAAGCAGCGCAGAGAGGGACGGGACGCTGGTTTATAAGAAAACGCGGCAGCGGTTCTTGTTGGGCGGCGTCGCAGCCCAGATCACGCAGCGGGTCACGGGATCCTCGCTTAGCTGAGCTGGATCAGGCAGATCAGGCCAATCACAGGCTGCCGTTTGCTGTGTCAGCTTATTGTGGCCTGCTGCCCGATCCGGTAAGTCTGGTAAACCACGCTGTTACCGAACCGTACAGTCCAGTATTAGCCTATTCCCATACAAACACCACCCACCGCGCCCTCTAATCATACGGATCATACGGGTCTGTTACCGTATCGAAATTCTGCTTCCTTCACCCACCTCAGATCACGCTGCGTCGGCTGGCGCTGCTGGCTGCTGCTATAAGTACTCGCCCCCCCGCCTGCTCCTCGTCGCGACTCTTGTCTCTTCTCCATCTTCCACTGCTTCACGTCCGCATACCTTGCTCACACCACACCCGCCGCCACACGTCTATTACACACGACATCTACTTCTTTACCCTTTTTTAATTTTTAAAAAACTCTCAAATTCATAATGGCACCAAAGGCCGCCGAGAAGAAGCCCTCTACTGGAGGCAAGGCCCCCGCCGGAGGCAAAGCTCCTGTTGAGAAGAAGGAAGCTGGCAAGAAGACTGCCGCCACCGCTGGTGGTGAGAAGAAGAAGCGATCCAAGACCAGAAAAGAAACCTACTCCTCCTACATCTACAAAGGTATGTTGTTATTCTCTCCCTCTTCACTTTCCCCGTATATCCGTATATCCATCGAAAAATCGCTATGACAACACATTACTAACGCGTCTTTGTTTCTTAGTCCTCAAGCAAGTCCACCCTGATACTGGTATCTCGAACCGTGCCATGTCCATCCTTAACTCCTTCGTCAATGGTAAGTCGCGATAAATACCCCCGTTGATTATTCGCAGAGCATCCACTAATCAAATTCCTCAATGGTAGACATCTTCGAGCGCGTTGCCACCGAAGCCTCCAAGCTTGCTGCCTATAACAAGAAATCCACTATCTCTTCTCGAGAAATCCAGACTTCGTAAGCTTTGCCTGTTCCATCAATATGTCATCCAGTCGCGTCGCGTCACTAACATCTCGTTTTTAAAGCGTGAGACTCATCCTCCCAGGTGAACTTGCCAAGCACGCCGTCTCCGAAGGCACAAAGGCTGTCACCAAGTACTCTTCGTCTGCCAAATAAACGACTTTGTTTTTTTGTTTTCTTGCTTTCTCTTCTATTATATGGTTTTTCTTTTTTTTAATTCCTCATGGTCGAATGTCTTTTTTCTCTCTGCGGCTCAGTGAGGTGGCTACGGGTGTTAAGTGGGTTTTCTTGTTTCTCTAACGCTTCATGGGACGGTTTTGAATTTGTTATTTCCTTGTTTTCAATTATTTTTTATTTTTTATTCCACTTTGCAACATTCCACATGTCTATGGGTTGCAATTCGTATCGTTTTGATGGAATGTACAATAAATTACTGGAATATGGAAGGCAGTCCGGCATGGGTTCACTGGCCACTGGCCGCCTCCTTGATTAAGGCAAGAAAATTCAATTTGCTTTTATTGTGCAAAGTCTCTCCTGGTATTTGTCTCTTGCAATCAAGATCTCCGATGTGGAATGCGTGGAGCTTTTGCATCTTCATTTTCACGTGGGGAAGACGGTCGATGATTTTTGATGTCAAATAGATACGTGTTTCTATCCATAAGCCAAGAACAAAATCGATACTATATACAGCCCAGGCTTGTCATGTCATGAAAATGACTAGAAATCAGAAGAAATCCAGGACGACGAGAAAACTTGATTAAACCATGTAACCAACCAACCAGCCGAAACAAAAGAATTGACTTGCGCGTCATTTTGATATATGTAAAACACTGGGGCTATCCCCAACATCGTCGTCGCGGATGCTCCTCTCATCGCCGTCAACGCGTTCGTCGCAATCGTCACATTCATCATCATCGTCATCATATTCATCCAACGCCTCAACCTCATCAACAGCCCCTTCCCTCTCCGACCCATGCCCACCAAACGGTGACGTCTCCTTATCAAAAACATGAATGATCGCTTTCCCATTCCCAGTTACCGCACCACCGCGCAAGTTCCGCTTCCAGTTATCCCAGTCATCCTCGTCGCGGATCAGGAAGCCAATTAGCATACTAGGATCCATGTCCTTGATGTGCAGCCGCCGCAGCCGGCGCGTGTGGTAGGTGTTCAGCTCCTCGTCGGTGTACTGTTGGTCGACGGGGACGTGGTAGGGGAGGGCAGGGCGGGTGTGGTGCGGGTCCAGGTAGAAGAAGTGGGAGCCTTGCGCGCCGATGAAGTAGTGGGAGGAAGAGGGGCGGCCGCTATTGGTTTTTGTTAACAACGCCGCCGTGGCTTTTTTTGTTTTCAAAAAAAAAAAAAAAAAAAAAAAAAAAAAATATATTCCTTGGACAAGCTGGATAGACGTTTACAAACTTACCCTGCTATCCCTACGGCCTGTGGGTATTTCAACACGGCCTTGAGCGCTTCCCAGTATACGGGCGTGACGCGGTCGATGCCCAGTCTGATTCCGAGGAGGATTAAGGTGGGGCGGATATCTGTGCTTGTGCCTGTGCCGCCTCCGCTGGCTATTGCCCGGAATCGATCTTCGTAGACGTCTGAGCCATCACTTGTGACGTAGACGTTTAGACCGGCGTGTTTGCATTCGCTCGATAGTGCTCTGCGGGATATACTTTAATGAGTAGAATGACAAGGGAAGCGCTGGGAGGGGCGGGTGAAACCCACTGTATGCATCTTGCTGTGGCAGACGGGCCAAACCATTCCCCAGGATATTTTCCGCACGCAGAAGCTCCATGCTCCACGAATCTGTGAATTGAGAAGGGGGCCCTCGGATCATCGGCAAATAGCGAGAGTAAATTGCTTTCTTCCTTTACTTTGGTGCCCCGTCTCCACTCTACAGGATTTTGTTTCCCTTTAGCTTTTCGTTCATGTAGTAAACGGGGAATAAAGCGTAGTAAGGCTCTTTCCCGGTGTAACATACCTCGACCTAAAAATAATATCGCCAGCGCATTTGCAAGCAAGCTCTGTCCCGATCGAATCATACAACCCCATCCTGTATCTGTTGTAAATCCCTGCGGATCAACCAGTTGGCTTCTGAGGCGAACGCCCAGCGTCATGGCCGACGCAGCGTTGGGGTCGCTAGACTTTGGAATCAGCGGGAAGCTAGACCGATACGTGAGCCATATCTTCGACTCGAAGTCATCTAGGAAGGCCGCTGGCCAGTCCTGCTGCCCTTGTTGTCCTGATGGGTTTGCTGTGGTGGATCCATGGTGGTTTGCGAAAAGCGGCACCTGGCTATTTAGGCGGGGACCATTATCTGGTGGCCTCGTAGCTACTGCATTTGTTGTCTGATCTGAATCATTTCTATGTTCATCCCGCGTCTTGTTATCATCCTCCTGGGTCTGTGGTGATTGTGGTTGCGGTTGTGGTTGCGGGGGAGTCAGTGGCTGGTAAACTCGCCCCAGACACCAGATGGGGGAGCCGGGTTCATCGTCATTCTTAGGCTCAGGATCCCAGAAGTATTGCACGATTCTCTTGTACTTTCCGATATCAACGTTATTCATGACGGCTGACGGTTTAGACTATATTAATACCCCATGGATGTTGGCGGTAACCGACGGGGTAGGGTCGGTCAATATCAGTGGCGGTGTTTATGGAGGGTTGTACGTAGAACACCTGACGAGATATACATATATATATATATATATATATATCTGTACTCCGTAGTTATAGCTGGACTTGATGCGACAAAGACGTAATTTATGACCAAGACCTATAATTGCAAACAACGAAAGGCAACGGGAAAGTACAAACTTAATGTAAAATACAACTCATGCAAAACAAAAAGTAACTAACAATGATCCTTCGCATGGAGCCGGTGCAAGCAGAAATCGTTGATTTTTCGGACTCTTGCAGCCTGGCGGCAGAGTCATCCTCCATATACACATAACTAGCTGCAAGAAACCATATGCAGGGAACAACGAAGAGAAACAACACAATCATGACGATGAATGGAATTTAATCTATCTAAGCACCTATTCAGAATAAAGACATCCGTATCATATACATATGCTCTCTATAAAGTAGTTAATTAATTACATGCTGGCAAACAAAAAAATATATAACGTTAACTGTTTCGGGAGTGCTTATCTAAGAGACCTGTTTGCAGTGTTTGCTTGTTAGTGATGCCTGAGTCATTTATTTCGATCATCCCGCAGCAGTTGAGTATTTTGAGAGGGGGAAGCCAGGAACAACGGCTGCAGCGTCAACAACTCAGACAAGGACACTACCACCACTCCTTACCGTGGCCGTGCAGTACCCTCGTTTCCTATGACCCCCATGGCCAGGTCAAAAAAGACAAAGGGCAGAGGCGGAGGAGGCTACAGACCTGGCTCCCCGGCCTTTGTTATGGCAACACGCCGATCCCTCCCCGCGCATCAATGCGGATTCAATCGTGCCAACAATACCGTCCCCTACATTGGCTTCAGTAAGCTCTTTACTCCGTGTTACAACTGCCCGGCTACCTAACTATCCCGCTGACTGTTTTTGTTTCCCCATCGAAAGAACAGAATGAAGTACAGTTTACTATGGCCCAGGAGGCCCGCGATACTGAGCGCTACACTGCCCACAGAAGCAATCTCAAACTACGATACAATGAAATAAGATTTGTCAGTGCTGGCGATTTGGTGCAGGAGAGCCTCGAGGTCCCGAACGATGGGAATGCGAATAATGCCCCGAACGGCACTCCAGCCAATCCAGATCCATCGACCCTGGTGGACAAGAAGGATGTGGAGGAGAAGAAAGAAGAAGCAGAAGAAGAAGATGAAGAAGGAGGGGAAAAAGTTGAATCAATGCTGGACGATCAGGACATATTTTTCATAGATCGCAAGGGAGAGGATCCTCCAGAGAATATGCAAACTGAAAACCACACCATAGAGCTTAACCTGCACCTATCCTCCCAACCAGATTCCAGTGAAGACGAGGTAGTTTTCACAGGGAGGGGAAGACGATTACAACAGTCTCCAGCCCACCGGAACCAGAATCTTGGTCCCAACCGTAAGCTTGGGCCTTCGATCCGGGATGATTCATCCATACCGGCGGATTGTGGTGGTGATAGTGATGGCGCTCATGATAAGGACAGCATTATTCCACGTCCGGCGTCTGTGTCCGATAGCGAATCGGAGCCGGCAATAATCTATACGTCCGAGCCAGTCCTGGATGACCTAGCGAACCCCCCCGAATTTATTAGCCTCAAGGGGAAGGAGAAACGTCCTCGCACACGAAAACCCAGAAAGCCAAGATTGGGCTGGGATTCTGATGATTCGGAGATCCTGGCTGATTATATCGCAAATATGATGGACGATAGCACGAGTGACGAAGAAGAAGAGGAGGATGAAGATGCTGGGGTAGGTCGGGCTCAAATTCAGAATCGAAAACAAGTAGGCCATTCAAGCACAAAGTCATGGAGCTCTGCGGACATTGAAGACCTGAATGACCTTAGCTCATCCGATGAACTTCCCGAGGAGATAGGGCGCATCTTTTCCATGAGAGAAAGAGGCGAAAGTATTCAGTATTTGCTTACCGGCAAGGGTCAGAGCACCGACGAAGCCCGTTGGGTTCGAAAGGAGCGTCTTACAATGTCTAGTGCGTCCGAATTGATTCAACGGTTCGAGGAAAATGTCGCATTGATTGCATCACAGCGGGAGGCAGCATCTAAACTCTCTTCTTCAGACCTTGACGAGGAGGATGAAAATGAAGAGGATGAGATTGACCAAGATTTAGACGACGGCATGAAACAAGATTTGACGGATGAGCAGATGGCTCGGTTACTTCAAACTCAGGACTCTCTTGGGTTAGGCACCGATGACCTCCTACCTTTCAACGGAGATGGCGGATTTGATGGCCTCGAAAGCTTCTCCAGATCAAAGTTTCCATACAAGTCAACCCAGCCGAAAAAGCGACGAAACCGAAACGGGAATTTCCCTTCCGCCTCAGCTTTCGCAGATGCCTTAGATCAAGATCCATATGGTGGCTTCGATGTTATGGACTTCGACCGTCCAAGTCTAAGGAAGAAACCAAAAGGCCGCCGCCATGCACATCAGAATGACTTCGACTTGTCTGATAGTGATATGGCGTATGAGCTGCAGGTGTCCTGGGAGAACGACCGAAACAAGAAGAAAGCCAGGAAGCAGGAGCGCGAGGAATTAAGGGCACAGGGACTATTGGACACCAAGCCCGGAAAGGTAAATATGAAGGCGAAGTATACGGAAGGCATGAGTATTGATGATGTTAAACTGGAAATCCGGGCCTTCCTGGCATCGTCTTCCCAAAGGTACGATACGATACCCCTCTAGTTTCCAGTCGTTTTTCTAACTGAAAATTACTAACGGCTGAAAACCAAACAGCCTCTCGCTGCCCCCAATGGACAAGCGAAACCGCAAACTCGTGCACGAGATAGCAAACATCCTCTCTCTCAAATCACTGTCGCGCGGTAGCGGCACCTCGCGCTTCCCAATCCTCACCAAGACATCCCGCACACCCAGCTTGGAGGGCCAAGCAGCCGTCCACCAGGTCGATAGAGTCTTCTCCAGCAGCCGCTTTATGCGGAGGATGGATAAATCCCAACGAGGTGGGCCTAAGCCCGTTGCCAAGTCCCGGGGTGGCGGTGTGAAAGGCACCTCGTATATGGATGGCGATGTTGTCGGGGCGTCTGCGCCGGAGATTGGGGCGGAGAATAAAGGCCGTGCGATGCTGGAGAAGATGGGGTGGAGTAGTGGGACGGCGCTGGGGGCTGCTAATAACAAGGGGATTTTACACCCTGTTGTGCATGTGGTTAAGAATTCAAAGGCTGGGTTGGGCTGAAGGGGGCTGAAGGGGTCGTGATTTTTCATGTGGTCTTCCTTATTGGGCTTTCTTTGTTTTCTTTTTTCTTTTTCTTGTTTATGTTCGTATGTTTTGAGTACGGTGTTTAGGAGCCTATAGCATATTTATAGACGAGCTCTGCGATTATGACATTGGGCGAACTGGTGTATCGGAGCGAGAGCAAAACCGGTATGACTCGAGTAAATCGTTTATTTTCTAAGATGCCTATATACTTATTCATAGACTCAAAAAACCGAATAAAAAAACCCGCGTCAAGACGCGTCAAGACGCGTTTCTTGACGTGCTGATTTTGAAAATAACTTGTGTTACAACCATCCCAAGTCCTAGCACGAGAAGCCAAGAACAGTGGCAGTAATCGCTCAGTAGGAACGCTGTGAGGAAAAAGGTACAGTACGCAGGCGTTCCCCGCTGCCAGATGGCGAAGTATAAAACTATATATATGTACATGAAATATTCTATCTTGAAAAATGAAAACAGAACAGTCGTCTCTGTACTCCGTACATGAATCATAATGCTTTTTTGCAAAATAAAACGAAACGCCCCACGCTATGCACCGAATAAAACCGCAGTGAAACAATATAACCCACTACCAAATCAGTCAAAGGTCCTATAGAAAGCCGAAAATCTTAAAACAAACCAAAAAAAAGGCAGCCTCGGCTCCCCCAACAAATCAGCGCTTCGCGCCTTTCTTCTTCGCCTGTTTATTATTAGATTTAGTAGCAGGCACAGGCTGCGCGTGATTTAGCTCCTTGATATGGTTAAATAGTTTGGTTTTGGAAGTGAACGAGCTGTGACATTTTGCGCATGTAAACGTCTTGCCCTGCCTCCCTTCTTCTTCAGCTGCAGCCGCCGCCGCAGCGGCGCGTTTGGCGCGCTTTAACTTTGCTTTGCCTACTTTTGCTTGCTTCGGCTCGTCGTCGTTGTCATCATCATTATTACTAGTACCCATGGGCGTGGCTGAGATGGAGGTTTTCGATATGTCTTCTGTTAGCATGGTTAGGCTGGCGTTCTCACTAGTTGTATCTGTGGCGAAGCGGTTTTCGAGAACGGCTCGCGGCGCGTAATCTTCGTTTGTATCGCTGGTGTCGTTATCGTCATCTGCTTCCTCTGGTCCTTGAATTTGCGTTTCGGCTTCGGCTTGGTTTATGTTTGATTCTGATAAATCGCTGTGGTGGTCCGATATGGAATCTGGATCGTCTTCGTGAGTTGGTTTAGTAGTATGTTCTAGCTCATCTTCCGCGTCTGAGGGAATGGGCTCGTCATTTTCCTGGGTGGTAGTGGCGCCGGACGAGGATCTTTGGGTGGAATCCTGAACTGAACCAGAACTGCTAGTGCCCGTTCTCGTTTCCGTGCTTAGTTGCTGAATGTGTTTATCCTCCGCTCTCATCTCCCAACGAAGCTGCTTGACAGCTTTGATGTGCTTCTTACTCCGCTCATGCGCGTCGAACTGTTTCTCACTCTTAAAGTTTTTTCGACAGACGACACACTCGAAATAGTCTTGTTCAATCACAGATTCACTACTGCTGCTGAACATTTCTTCCTCTGTCTCTTCACTCCGTGCCCATTCTGGGATCTGTTGGTTGTGCAACTTCGCTTCATTTGCTGCTCGCGAGCGCGCCGCCTGCGCCGCCGCAGCATCCCGGAGAGATTTCTGCCGCTCCGCCTCATTCTGCACGGTGGCTTTGAAACGGGGATCTCGCTTCTTCACGAAGGCAACGAGAGACCGGACAGCGTCGTTGAATTCTCTAATACCCTCGTCTCTCAGTCGTTTGTTCTCTTTCTCCATCAGCCTCCGGACCCTTCTATCGGGTGCTTCCGAGTAGCGATAGACATCCTTCCACGAGAACGATTTCTTTGTCGCAAACCCGCTCCATATCGAGTAAAACGGGCGGATGCTGTCATAATCGTCATCTTTGTGGCCGAATGAGGGGTAGTCGACGGGTTCCAAGTCACCCCATTGGCACGCCAGTGCCTCTTCTTCCGCCAGTTGCTCAAAAGTTTCCCGCAGCCCGCCAAAGAAGCCAGACGGCGCATCTGAGAAATCCATACGGGGGTTGAATTTCATGATGAGCTGCGTTATATCGTCTGCGGTTGTCATTTTGATATTATGGGAATACTGCGCAGCCGCGGGGCCATTGTGGCCCGCCAAAATGGCGTCCCGATGGGAGTCATACCAGGCACGCTCCTGGGGGTCCGATAGGACTTCGTAGGCGGCCTGGATCTCAGCGAAGATGGCGGTGGAAGCCTCTACATTACCATAGTTTCTGTCTGGGTGGTGTTCTAGTGCCTTTTTCTTATAAGCCTTTTTGATCCTGTGCGGGGAGAAGGGGATAAAATCAAATTAGTCTCAGGTTTCACCACCGCATTTCCTAATACTCTCGTGCTACGCTGGGATCGGCTACCAGCATAGCACATAAGATAGGGCATTTAAAAATCAAATCAAAACCAAACTGGGGGATGAGGCGCACTCCTCTTCTGTAGCGGTTCTTCCCAAACCCAGCAGCTCGTAGTAATCCGTCTTCCTTTCCTCATTAGCTGGGGCGCCACTGTTCCCCCCCGCAGTGGAGGACTGGCTCTGGCCCATGGACTCCTCTTTGTCGATAGCAGCACAGACAATGTGCTGGAGAGAAGGAAAATGATTGGCGCGGTGATTTTGTGAAATCCCTTGGAGGTCCTGAGCTTAACAACGAGGACCGCCAAACGATCAAAATATTAAGCTTTTGTCCACAATGCGACGGCTTAGTCATCGATTGAATGCGGAGCGGGCCAAGACCCGACGTCATTGCGTACGGAGGGGTGGTATGGTATGGTATGGAACTGGTTCGAGATGGTAAGAAAAGCGCTTGTTAGTGGTATTTTTCGGTGTCATTCGGGTATTACGGTCGGAAGACAGCACGTGGCGCCCTCTGGGTTTGAATGCTTGGCAGGCTTGGCATCTGGCCACGGGGGATCCAAAAAAAACCCTGGAAGTTGCTGTCAAAAGTCATTCATCTGTCTGTGTACTGTGTATACATGCATGTATATATAACTTCCATCTATTTCGTCGATTTGCCCGCCATCTGCCCCTGGGACCCTCTACAAACCACCCTCCGAGGCTGCTATAAACGAAATATCCTCAAGCTACTGCAATGTATATTTGCTCTCGACCGGTTCTCTCCTACATCTCCAAGATATCGGGCCGCGCTCCTGTTCTCCACGCCTCTGAAATGCGACATCCTTGATGGTGGTGGTTATCCCTATACAAATAGGTTATTGCGAAAAAGATAAATACTTCTCTCTTTGCTTCATCATCATCATCATCTTCTTTTGCTGCGCATAGGAATACCCTGTTGGAGTTGGTTAAATAGTACCTACTATCCGTTTAAACGACTCCAGTAATGAAGTTTGCGCGTGACTACACACAGATCCTCAACGCTGAGGATTACCCTGCCCAGTGGGTTCAGTCTGCAATCTCCTATAAGCGCCTCAAGAAATGCATCAAAAAGGTGTGTACGGAGCTGCTATCCCTGGGATTACGCCCGGAAATCCTGAACCTGCTCTGGCATCAAAGCCAAGCGGCCAAGGCGCGAGGGTATGATGGTGCTGGCGATGATAGCCGGCCTTTTGGCTTCCAGTATTCCCTGAGCAGTAAGTTTTGGCCGGTTCGAGCTATGAATGATACCCCTTGTTTTTGGATAGGAGGCCTAACTATTTTTTGCAGAAAACCCTTTCACCTCGTTTTGGCTGCCGAAATTGACCTTCGTAATCGACCCCATGGATGGCTCCCCGATTGATGCTTTCGTCTCTCCTCGAACCCTCGAGTTTCTTCAGCAACTGAACAAAATTCCCCTTCCGATACCTGCGGCTACTTTGGCTAGACTGGACTCTGAGTTGGGATCTTTCACTGACGACGGCTGCCTGGAAGTGGTTGCCGATGGGGAATTAAGTCTTGCCAAACGGAGGATATCCCTCGAGAGCGTAGATGAAAACGCCGAAACAGCGCATTCCGTCGAGATACCGCTCTCCGCCGACTCCGAATTTTTCCAAATCCTGAACAAAGAGTTATCAGGCCTGGACAAGCTCCAAGAACGAGAACAGATCGTACTGAATGAACGGGCCAAAAACTTGCGCCAGCAAATTGTTAAGATAACGAAACCTCAATTCAGAAGATCGCAGTCCGCTCTATATACTTGGAGAGAGATATTTCGACTGTATATAGATATGCAAGTGTTTTTCTGTACCGATGAGCAAGGTTCGGGCCAGAGAGACTCCAAAGCCGCCAGCCAGCAGCTGGAAAAATTTCAAGCTACCTTGACGAAGGACCGGCGGATAAAAAAGCTTGGAAAGGAGGGTCGTGCTGCGCTTGAGACGTTCCTGTGCATCAACAACGCACTGCTGCAAAACCTGAAGTTCCAAGAGATCAATCGCACCGCGCTCTACAAGATCTTGAAAAAGTTTGACAAGCGCACCGCTCTCCCTGCCGGGACAATTTTTCCAGAACTCATGGTGGTTGAGGCGTTTTTGGCCGAAACAATGGCCAAAGCCGTCTGTTACACGATTTCCGAAGAAGTCCTTACTGTCATACCTCAGTTGGACGACTATCTGTGTCCTATCTGTTTTAATATTTCGTTTAAACCCGTGCGACTGCGGTGTAACCATGTTTTCTGCATCCGTTGCTTGGTTGTTATGCAAAGGGCTAAACAGGACAAATGTGCCCTTTGTCGAGAGGAGGTTGTATTGTCAGCTACAGGCGGTATGTTAACGTCTTGGTTTCACTCCTTTTGCCACGTGTGGGTAAGTCTGTGTGACATCGTAAGCTGACATGATGTATAGCAAATCTGGACATGGAACTTCTTGCATTCCTTGCGGCCAGTTTCCCAAAGGAGACGAAGGCCAAGCAAAAGGAAAACGAGAGAGCCGCGATGGTTGATCTTTATGGTAATTCTTACGATTCTTGCTCTGTGATGTAGCGTGCTATGTATTTCGATCTGCCTAGTTTTGTTAATTTTTTATTTTAGCGACGGTCTTTAATCACAATTAATACGACCTGACATGATAGCACGAGGAACGAGTTGTCCACTAACTTCCAGGATTATCTCCCTGTTCCCGGGGAAAAGGCAAGACCCCGTCGTGTCCATGAACTTGGGGGAGTCAAGCCTAGGGAACTTTTTCGCTTCGTTGCTTGCTGGGTATGACTTCTGTTGTGCTACCAGGACGAAGCCAGCTAGGAGGGCTGGCGGCTGTGATCACATTGCTCTGAACAGCGTTTACAACTTTGCTACAAGGGCAGTTGAACCCAAGTATATTCCTCTTCATCCGCAGATGATTTTTAAGTGGAATGGTGGATGGGATGGGAACTGTGAATGACGATATCATGTATATAATACCCCGATTGATGTCTATATTGTTTATAGCTGTATGTAACTTGCATAATTAATCATTTAAAAGCCAAACTTCAGCCTCAATTTGCAGCCATTTCTAAGGCCCCAGCTCCAGCATCACATTCCGGTACCTTGGTATGATGCAATTGTAACTCTATTGCCGCTCGGCTCAGCGTGCGGAGTTGGCCTGCTAATCCAAACACCAAAATCCATACCAAGCTTATCTCCGCGCACAACAATGTTTCCTCCATTCAATCCCCAGTTTCATTCCTTCTGCCGTTTTCTCTTGCTATGAAATTATTTCCATCACATTGTTATCGCTCTGCGAACCGCCTCCACTCCAACAATCCATAAAAAATGGCATGGGCAGTCCGCCCCACCCTCGACAGCCTCCCAGACGAAGTCTTGCACACCATTCTCTGCTACTCTCCCGCAAGCACAGCACTAACCCTAGAACGCACATCCCGCCGTTTCCAAAGCGCGACAAACGTTCCTCTCCTCTGGCGCCTGTACTGCCAGAAAGATTTCAAATTCTGGGACCACCGCCATGAGTTCCAACGACGATTGGCTGGGCCTGTCAGCGCGGTGGACTGGAAGGCGCTCTATGCGCTTCGGCGCCGCATTGATGTCACCACCACGCAGATGTTAGATAGTATTCTTATGAACCAGACGGGGAGGATTGAGAAAACGCATCGCATTGTGCAGTTTGGGTATGATGCGAAGGATACGTTGCTGCGCCATGCGACGGTTGGGGAGGAGTGGGAGGATCATTTGGCGAGACGGTGGGTTATTTATTTGTTTTTGATTGATTTAACCCTCTTTGAACCTGGTCATTTATGGCGACCGATACTAATCTAATTTGAATAAAAAAATAGGTATCATAGCATCGCCATCCTCGGCTGCCTTCATCGGACAATGGCTATACCTGTATGGAATAGATTGAAAAACAAGGAGGATATCCCGTTGGAACGCGCGCTGGGGGCATTTGACATGTTCGTTTTGGAAGCTGGGCCCGGGGATTTTAACGATGTAGGTGGGGATGATATCGTTACCATCTTAATGCCCCCATCTCATTTTCTTTTTTTCAACCCGGGTCAGGGATTCTAATTGACAATGCTCTGTAGATCTCAAATTACCTTGAGAGTATCGTAACACGATTGTCCAAAGATTGCGCAGTGATCATGGAGCTAAGCCCACGAAACAGAGCGAGAAGGATAGCTAGGTATCTACGGGAACATGATCTAACCGGTATCGACCCAAAAAGGGAGTATTACAATATTGAGCACAATTTTATAGGTCTCGCATTAAGGAATCACGGCCATAATTCACTTCCTCTCATTTCTTCATCTATATACTGTTATGTTGCACGGAGACTTGGCCTTGATGCCCATCCCTGCGGATTCCCCTTCCATGTTCATGTCATCATACACCCTGCCGAAGGCCGCGATATGGACGGAAACCCGCTCGAGGACCTCAGCAAACCCGGCGATCCCATGTACATGGACCCGTTCCGCTCAACAGAGGAAACGCGGGTAACTGAGCTGCAGGAACAGCTGAACTTTTTGGGAGCCCTGACGATGTCCCGGTCGACCTTTTTGCGCGAATCGCTCGTGCAGGAGATAGTTCTTCGCTGCAGCAAGAACATTCTGAACTCGGTCTTTCAGACCCCGCGCATCCGGGACACCTGCCTTGATCCCGTTAACGTGAAGTATGCCGCGCTTTGGTCTTCCATGCTCCTTGCGGAATATGCCAACCAGGACGGCCAGGTGCCGGGCGTCTTCCCACCACGGGACGTTGGTCATGGTCATGCTTCCCTGCGACGCCATCTGCCGGCGTTGATGGATAATCTTGCTTCCGATTTCCAATCGGATGTCTACCTCATCGAGGAGTACTTGATACCGCTATTTGAGAATCTGCCGGAATATGCCCCGCTACTGGAGAGTGTTCGCGTCCTGCGTGCGGGTGATGAGATCCCGAAACAGGTGCGGAGCCGCACGCCGGAACATAAGCATGTAAAATATAAGATCGGACAGGTGTTCCGACATCGTCGGTACGACTATGTTGCTGTCATTACTGGCTGGGACGCCGAGTGCGGAGCTGGGGAGCAGTGGATGCAGCGGATGGGGATTGATAGGTTACGGGGTGGCAGACATCAAAGTTTCTACCATGTTTTGTACGTGATTCCTTGTTTCCATATCACCCTCCTGTACCGATCTTTTATGCGGGTCGGGACCAGTTGCTAACATGTTGGGTTCTTCTTCTTTTTTTCAGGGTATCCGACAAAAGCGTACGATACGTGGCAGAGGAAAATATTGATCCAGTGTCGCCAGAAATTTCTCAGTTACCACCAGCATTTGTGAAGCTGGCTGGTAAGCATTTTAAGAGGTGGGACCCGGAGTCGCGGGTGTTCGTTAGCAATATTCGAGACGAGTATCCGGATGACTGACCTTGGTGATTGATCGTGGTTGACAAGCGGGGGTTGGGTCTCCTTTTGGGAAACCAATGGTTGGCGTTAGGATGGATCCCCCATATATCGAAATAGAGGCAATAATGCTTTGGCTTGGATATTTCTCTCGTTCCCCCGTCCCTTCCCACTTCTTTAAATATGAAAATAAAAAACCTTCTTGGGCTGCGCAAATAGCCTTATTGGATACCAACTCTATCCATCAATGCAGCGGTCTCTTGTAATGTCAGCCCTTCCAACTTCCCATCCTCTAGCTGCACAAGAATAGGCATATTTTGGAACTTGAGCAATGCAGCCAACCATTCCATGACATATTCCTCAAATCTTATGAAGGGACATTTCTCTAATATTTCCCCTATACGTGACTCCCACCCTTTGTCTCCATCAGCGCCAAGAAGGGATGCTTTCACTGATTCCCTCACAGACTCCCATTGGGCAACCTGAGCTTTATAATCTTGTGCAAAATTTTCATCATCATCATCACCCTCGAATTTGTAAGGATAATCCCACGCAAACGCCTCATTTGCTGCTTCCGTTATAGATTTGCCCTGTAACAGAATCTCCTCAATAGCAGCAAACAACATAAACCGAACCGGCAATTCCATCCAGCTGACGTCTGGTATGTCGTGGTGGTAGATCATCCCGCAGAGAGATATACACTCTGGTAAAATATCTAGGAGGGTGACGATGGGTGTATTGTCATCACCATCTTCGCAAGGGATGCCCATGTGCAAGTACATGTCCCGTCGATTCCGCTCTAGAAACGACCTGTCATCCATAACCCGCGTACTTCCATCCCCGCAGCTGATTTTGTGATCTTCATTTTGAAGTAGCCAGCGCTCTGCACGCTCCTTGTTCTGCTTTCTTTGGGCTTGGAGCGCGTCTTCTGACGGGAGAAAAGTGCGGGAGCTCCGAGTATACCGTCGGCACAAGAGATTTGTAACAGTGAGAATCTGAAGTTTGATTTTCACGTGTATGGGGAAGTTTGCATTATTATTATTAAGATCAGTGTTATTTCTATCATTCCTATCCTTGCTGTCGCTGCTGGTATTGTTGAGATGATTGTATCGAAATATTTGCATGAATCCTGCCCGCGAGTAATAATTAGTTTTATAGTTAAATACCAGGTACCTCAACCACCGCATTGATTTGAAATACAGCTAAACAAATTCAATTAAAAGAAAACTAACCGTCAAATATCCCCAGAAGATTATCTCCATTTTTAGTTCTATGCCTCGACTGTGCCTGCTCGCCATTCCGTTGAGCCACTCGGTCCTCAACCACCGCGATTATTGTCTTGTAAAGCAGGTAGTCGAGCGTCATTAGGTCCACTTCCAACTTCAGCTCTGTATCTTCTGGATCGGAGGTCATTCTTTTTTCTCTTTCGGATTGTGTAGACTATGTTTGAATCCTGACAATTCTCGAAAAAACCCGCCGTTGTTCCTGGGTGAAGGTTCTATCTATATTTAGAGAAAAGTCGCGTGTGCGGGGCTCGTGTTTGGCGGTTTTTATTGTGGCGCGAGACACAACCCACTCCTTTTCTTTCGTTGAAGATGAATGAATGAATAGTTATATATGTCAGTGTTGATTGAGGGCATTCACGGTCAATGAAGGCTTGTCCGTTTTTGGTTTGTACGCTCTACGGAAATTTTAAACAACCCCTTGAAACGAAGAGATACACGATGCTTCATCATGTGCTTCATAAAACGGTAAAATACTGGGTGCACAAATATCATTCCTTATATATAATACAAAATTAATATTTCAACGAACTGCCATACCCCAATAATTCAATACGCCAGTATTTCCTCAACTAACCCTTCAATGACCTTCTTGCGTGCAAGAAGACTCACCCAGGTGTGCACAGCAGGGCCGTAATCATGTCTTCTGGCCGCCGCGTAGTCCTCATCGGCTCGATGAGATTGTTCCTCTTCACTGATCATTATTCGTGTATCCTTTTGAGCAATGACGAGCTCCTCTCGATACGTTGCCAACTCATCTGGGGTTGCGGATATGTATTTGGCTCTGAGATCTTCCGGCACGTCAGCTCGCTCCACCTCTTCCCGCGCGATATTGAGGAACGGATCATGCCCAATACCGTTAACGTTTCCATCGACGGTCGTTGCTGGGTCATCCAGTTCCAATGGGGAAGCGCCAAGAGTAGATAGCTGCTCGTCTATAGTGGCGATGCACTTGATGTTTGTAGCAAGCCGTGCTTTCAAATCGATCAGAGGGTCTTTAACCAGTCCCAGGATCGAAAACTCAATCTGACCCTCCTCATATTCTGCCATCCTTGAAAGAATTTCAGGCTTCGCTAGATCCAACCACTTATCACCCGAGCAGTCGCCTTGAATGAAAGGGGGTTAGTTAAAGGAAACTGAAAGGGAAGGGAAAATTAAAGAAACTTGGCTTTGAGGCAGGGAATGAAGTGATAGCCTACCTAAATTTTGAGGCTGGCGCTCCAGCCCATCAAACTTCCATAGCTTCCCTTTTGCTGGGACGAAGCCGATGAAATGAAAGCCAGCTTCGCTATCATCATAATCCTGATTTTTCAATTTCTTCGCCTTGGACTTTCGGTTCATAGCTTCAGTCTTTAGCTGGAGGTCGGTGTTGAGGACGTCCATTTTTCTGTGGTTTGAGCTTGGAATAAGTTATCTGTTTTTCTATTGTGATTAGGCGATATTAGACCTACCTCGCAAACGAGTTGTGGACGCGTTTAACAAATTCGAAATTGCCGATTGCGTCCCCACGCAATGCTGGGGTAAACGACATCGTGAAGTCTTTGAAATGCTGCAGTTCTTCCCCTAGTTCAATCTCATCGACATTGTTGATAATGTTCAGCAGCGCAACACTTGCGCAAGCGTAGCTTGATGTCTAACAAGAAAAAAAAGGTGAATCTTTAGTAGATGTATTTTGCTTTGCATGCCCTCATTGTTGGGAGATACGGAAGCGAACCTGATTCGCAAACCAAATGCCCTCTGGGCAACTTGACTCCTGTTTATCTGGGTCATCTTCCTTCCACCGAAAGAGAAATATGAGCCCATAGACCGGTTTGCTGTTTCGATAAATTGGAATTAGTCAAAAATATCATAAATTATTATTGAATTATTGAATTGAGGGTGCTATCAAGAGATATAAGGATGTGGCATACTGGAGGAACTCTAGCATCTCATCATCTAGCGACACAACCTCCTGCACTTTAACCCCCTTAACACCAAAGTCCCGTAGCATAACATTAAAAAGAGCCTTTTCAATGTCATATTAGCTTTGAAGGAAGATATATTAACTATCAACGCGTAGGGCCTCCCGTAGACATACTGGCTCCGATTCGATCTCGCAGAAGCCGTTCCAGTGAGCTTTATCAGCTTTTGTTAACGGCTGCAGTGGCAAAGCCTCAAAGGTTTTTGGCGGATTGAGCCGTCGTCGTTTTGCCCGATCTGTCATCTTGTACTAATCTAGCGGGTGAACTTGAGTATCTGAAAGTTGAAGTGATGATCGTGGTGGTTTTTTTATATAAGGTATTTCTTCGAACAACAAGAAGGATGAAACACAGATAACGGACAAATAAAGAATAGAGATTCCTTCACTCCTCTACTGCATAGATATTCAATCTTCAAACGTTTCCACATCTCGCACTGGAGCTTCTGACGCTGATCGGTGGTTGTTGGGTTGGAGTATTTAAATAGTTATTAAATATTTGGCGATGTCTTGGCACCAACCTCACGCGTCGACAAGCATTTTTTTTTCTCGCGCAGAGCATACAACTACATACTTATCAACTTGATATCCGCAGCCACAGGTCGACAAACAGGCCCTATCAGCTAGGGAGAGGAAGATCCAGCATACGTCCACTCTTTTCTCTTTTGCTTATTTGCCTTTCTCTCCTTTGTATGTGGATTTCACCGGCTAGTTGCAGCTTGGGTTGAAGTAAATCCTTTGCGAGAGCGAGCTTTCGCCTTTGATTTGCCTGCTCTCCTAACATATCTGGAGAACAACCTCATTACGACGGGAATCGCAAGCTGGAGTGCATGGTACTGACAGGGTCAGTTAACCATCTTTTCGCGACTCGTTTAAATCTAACAACTCTGTCCATCCTGAACTTTCTCTTTTCCCGTAGGCTTGGATGGGACCTGGAATGAAAAGCCGGCTATCGTGTGTACCTTTACAACTCCCTTGCCGTAACCAAGCCCCCCCAAGCATGTCATGAACGGCACTCCTCGACTCCGATCTTCCTTCCCCCAAACCCCCCGCCATTCCCCACGTTACAGAACCCTCAGCGATGGACCGAGAGGGACTCCACTCGAAGCCCGGATGCGGAGCCTTCGAAACGAGAAACCCGCACCAGTGAGGCTGGAACAGGACGATACAAGCGCGCCGCTTATTCCCTTCAGTGTTATCGATGCCCCGTCTCAGAGACTATATGTGGTGGCTTTCTACATGGCCCTGAATGCGTGGCGCATGTACGAATTCTGGACCTCGTCAGATGATTTTGATTCAACCTGGCTCTTCTTAAAATGGGTCTCAATTGACGGCATCTTCTTGTTCGGTCTCCCTGCTCTGCGGATACCGTGGTTAGAATGGGCGTTTTCGACTACGTTGGCGGTATTCATGGTGCATGCTGTTGCCAATGCCTTTTTGATGTTCCGCATTCCTGTAAGTTTACGATGAATGAAGTCCCCTCCAATGCCAAAATACACCAAAGATGTATAATAATCTTAAAGCAGATACCTATAGAGTCGTGGATGGCTGCCCTGGTCAAGTTGGCTTATGACAGGGAGCTTTCCATATCAGAAAGAAGGGTTAGGCCGGCTGATATCCTCCGTAATTCGTCTTTGATTCTTGGCAAGCAAATTATTCATATCCTCCCTGAAGGGTGAGTTGTTTGTCCCCCAAATATTCCCGCTTAATATTGATGACTGACAAAAAGTTTTAGGTCCGCGGTACTGAACCCAGAGCAAACCTCGTTTTGTATCGATGGCCAGACAACCCAGGCGATGTTACCAATCCGTGTGAATCAGACTACGCCGATAATCATTGATCTATTACGAGTTGACCTCGAGTCTGGCCAGAATGAGACTATTTCAATTCTATCCAAACAACTGAAGCAGATGATGAAGTTAGCGAATAAGGGTCATCCGAGTTCGGATAAGTATAGCCCAAGAGATTTGCTATTTCCAGTTAGAAAAACAGGAATTTACCAGCTACAAAGAGTCGTGGACGATTCGAAGCTTGAAGTTAGGCGCAGCCCACTTGACACCCTGGTTGCTGCGTGCCCGAAAGCGGTTATTCGGACTTCGGCGGACAACCGATGCAAGGGCGAGCTGTCAGACTTGACGCTGGTAGTCGAGGGGACACCCCCTTTGAAGATCAAATACAGTCGTAAGGTTAATTGCATCGATCACGGCGTCTCGTTCCAGAGTATTCAGCCAGAAAATTTTAGATCACCTCTCACCAATCAGGTTCGAGTTGGCTCCCTGATAGATCCAAAGGACACAGAAATTAGCTGGGCGCAGTCTCAGAGAATTGAGGTCCCGCTTAACGAATCGCTGAGCATTGGGGGTGAATGGATCTATTCTATTGAAGAGGTCCACGATGCCTGTGGAAATGTCGCCAACTATTCTCTTATTCTTGACGATGGTGACCAACAGCCTGTAAAGACTTCGCCCCAAACTCAGAAATTCTTAGTTCATGAGCGACCTCGTGTTTCATTGACTGGATGCAACGCCCAATCCTACCTCCAAGTCGCGAAAGACTCTTCCATCGATCTCCCCGTTCATTTCCATTCCGTTGGACGCGACGAGCCAGCTGACGCTCCCTATACGTTGACGTACTCCTTCAGGAGCGAGGCTACTCAGGATGATACTTCCATTCCTCCCTCCGTGCAACAAGTCAACCTTCAAAGTGTCAACCACAAACCTCGAATCAAAGAGCCAGGATGGTATAGCCTTACTGCTATCTCCAGCCAATTTTGTTCAGGGGAGATCTTCGAACCTGCGTCTTGCTTCCTTCATAACCCTCCTGAGCCAAGTATTAACTTGCGCTACGAAAAGCTATATGACAAGTGTGCAAATAATTCGGTTGGCCTTCTTGTAGATCTCGACCTGATTGGTACACCTCCGTTTCAAATTCGGTATAATATCGAAACGACTACCGGAGTTCAGACGCGTCTCATATCCATCGACTCTCTGAGGAGCCAAATCGATTTTACTCCAGCAGAAGCAGGACATTATAAGTACGAATTCCTTGACATATCAGATCGCGTTTATCAGCCCCAATCATTGAAGGGCAAGGTTCCGACGCTGGAGCAAGATGTGAAGCCTCCTGCTTCCGCACAATTCTTGGGTCATGTGACCAGTCGCAAAGCCTGCTTTGGTGAACCTGTTTCGGTTGATGTCTTCTTCGTTGGAGAGGCTCCATGGGAACTACAGTACGAGCTCGTTCATAACGGGAAACGGATGAAACATACGCTTCGGAGCGAGCATGAAATAGCGACTGTTGTTACTGATGATCTTGTTGACGGCGGTGGATATACTCTAGGTTTGACAAGTGTGAAAGATAAGTCAAATTGCAAGAGGCTGTTAAAGGAGGAAATCAAGATTGATGTCCGACCTAAGAGACCTCAGGTTGCCTTCGGTCTACTCGACAAGAAACGCAGCATCCTTGCTCTGGAGGACAAGAAAGTGGAGGTACCACTACGGTTGGAAGGAGTGGCGCCGTGGACCGTCAGATTTCAAAACCTTGATGACCCTTCGATGCCTCTCATCGAAAGGACACTATATAATGAGAACAGTGTTGTCCAACTCACCCAACGTGGACGATATGAAATCATCGAAGTCAACGATTCTACGTGTCCCGGTTCTGTTGACAAAAAAGCAAGCATGTTCGAAATTGCTTGGATCCCTGGACCAAGAATTACAACTATCGATGGCATTTCCGTTGAAGATAAGGATGTTCTAGAAAAACGAGAGGTTTGCGAGGGTGATGAGGATCTCATGGAGGTGAAATTCGATGGCACACCTCCTTACACGGTTAGGTACGAGCAACAGCGTCGGCTAGTTACTGGCGGGATCTCTATGAGCCTCAAGACAATGACAGCGGCATTGGGTTCTGCATCTCTACGAATGGACACCTCAAAACCGGGCGTCTATTCCTATAAGATTATTGAACTGGGTGATAATCTCTATAGCTTCGATCATAAGAAACATGCGCCGCTCACCGTTACCCAACAAGTCAATCCTCGCCCTTCTGCTCGCTTTGAACAACCCAACCATATATACGGATTCTGTAAAGAAGAAGGCAATGCGGAGGAAGTAATCCCTATAATTCTGGAAGGGGTTCCGCCGTTCTCCCTAGAGATTGGGATCAAACATTCTTCAGTATCGAAGCCGGAGGTGCTATCCATACCACACGTAGACTCCAACCGGTACAACTTACCCATCCCGCGACGATACCTCGACCTAGGACAGCACGTCATCAGCATCCAGAAAGTCCGGGATGCGCGTGGCTGCCAACGCACCACAGAATACGAAGGCTCCTCCGTTCGAGTGGCTATTTCAGATGTCCCGACCATTCTACCGCTGGAAGCGCAGGTGGACTATTGCGTTGGAGAGCGCCTCTCCTTTTCGCTATCTGGTCACGCGCCGTTCGAGGTATATTATACTTTTAACGGCGTGGAGCGGAAAGCTACTGTGCCGAATACTAGCTTCCGCCGCATTGCGGAAAAACCAGGTGAATTTGTTATTACGGCCGTGAGCGACGGGGCAAGTGGGAAGTGCAAAGCGTACAAGAATATCACCAAGACTATCCATGAAATGCCTAGCGTGAGAGTCAGTCGTGGATCGGTTTCTGTTGTCGAGATACATGAGGGTGGAGAAGCTGAGATGGTATTTGAGTTTTGGGGAACTCCGCCGTTTGAGTTCACGTAAGTTACTCCCTTTCACTCCCTCCCTGCTGTTTGTTTTCTATTGTCGTATCCTACTCCTTCTGCGTCGTCTTATTTTTGGCGTCTTTGGTTGCTTTTGAGATGAAAGACTGACTTTGCTCTTCCTGCACAGATATACGCGCAGTTCAATAGACCGGAAGGGGAAGAAATCACAGGTTTTGGATACTAAACACGACATATCCTATGAACACACCAAAACTATCCGAACATCTGACGAAGGTAGCTACGAAGTTGTTGCGATCAAAGACAAGTACTGCTCGTTCTCTACCCAGGATGCAGCAGGATCGGGCGGGCGGAAAAGAGGCTAGTGACAGGCATGTCGCCTCATATACAGATTAGATGGCCCGCCCCCTTGTGTAATATAGATTTATTTGCGTCTATAGAGCCTTGATAGGCCGAGGGGTTGGGTTAATGTGTGGATCTCGTTTGTTTGTCCCTAATGATGAGAGAATGGGGGGGATTACATAGCATCGGCGTTATTTTAGGTCACCGTTTGTCAGTTTCCCTTATATTTTTTGTGTAGTTTATTGTTGCTCTTTTTATTGTAAAAAGGAGGAAATGTTAAAATCTATAACGTATTGATAAATGAAATTTTTCTACTTTGTTCTCCTATCTACCTATTCGTATTTTTACCGATTAACCTGAATCTTCTCGACAAGCTCGCCACCTATCGTGGCAATCTCATTCAAAATCGCTGTCCTGTTAGGCATGAGCTCCGCCCCATTTTCCTCCGCCCCTCCTTCAACATTCGATGGAACAGTCGAATAACCAATCTTCAACCCCCAGCCCCGTGGTTTCGTCGTCTGCTGATTCCAAACTCCGGCAATGATGCCGCCCCCGGACTCCCCATCCCCATGGAAAAATACAATAGCATGCCCGTACAAACAGGTCAACTCATCCACAAAGGCAGCAGCGGGCTTAAACCCCGTCATATCACCATCGAGTCCCCCCTGACCTAGTCCCTGAAGGTTCTTAAACACAACTTGATCCTTCTTCTTCTTCCGGCCGCCGGAAACGTACTTCGGATTCAACCGGAGCACAAAATCATAATCCGTCAGGGGTGATAGGAAGAGTTCTGGCGCGTGTAAATCTAACCTCTTCTCCGTCACGAGCCTCATAGCCGACTTGGATAAGGCAGATAGCCTCGCCGCGACAACTCGTGGCGGCTTCGAAAACTGGGTCCAGGTGACACCGTCGGGGTCAAGGTTAGACGCGGCAAAAAGGGTGACGGTGTTCATCATCGGGTCGATGTTTCGCCAGGCGTCGAAGCGCGTTTGGATCTCAGATAATTGCTGTGATGTCAGTTCCTGGTTTAGATCAACAATTAACGGCTCCAGTTGCCAGTCCCAGTGGGAGAGGAAGTGAAGGGTGCGAAGGAAACCGGTAATGACGCTAGAGGGGGCATCCCAGGGGTATGGGTGGACGAAGATGCGGCAGACGATCAGTTCTAAGAATTCGTCGCGGAGGTGAGGGGTTAGGAGGTGGGAGTTTGCCCATTTTTTCACTAGACGGATGGTTGGGGAGAGAAGGGGGAAACGGGTCGAGAGGGTTCGGATTGTTTGTGTGTGTCGGGGGGCTTGGATGAAAGCGCGCCTGTGTGTGGCGAGGGCAGAGGCTAATTCTTCCTTTTGGCGCGCTGCTAGGTCTTTCTTTTTCAATTGTTGTTCCAATAGAGTTTGTTCTCTGTCGTGGTAGATGCGAAGGCGGAATGTGATGGTATTTGGGAGAACGATGTCGAGGAACGAAGTGTTGAGGATCTTGCTGTTTTCATTCTCTAGGCCTACTTGGCAGGAGGCTACTTCCCCGGAGTCTTGTAGAAGTTCAGCAATCTTTAGTAAAAAGGCTAGTTTTGTCATTTGGATGGCGGTCAGGTCTTCTGGCCACCGTGTTGAGCCTTCAAACTGGAGGAGGATATCGGCAGGAGTGTTTTGCACTAAACCGCTGCTCGAAACCTGGGTTGCTGTATACCTCAATAGAGGGCTAGCTGCCGAGAGCTGATGTAATGTGAGCGGAAGGCCATCGATGCCCTGGAGCAATTTTTCAAGAGAACTGAAAGCATCCATATAAGGTTGAAAAGGAGCAGTGGGGTTCAATGCGCCGACGCCGTTGAAGTATTCTGCATCGAGGCCATAGCTTGCAAAAGTGATGCGGCTTTCATCAAGGCCAAAATGCAACTTCAAGATATGGGCCACAATTTGTTGCACAATTGGTGGGTCTGACTGGCGATCGGACCACACCAAACTTTCCACGATACTCCCATCCTTAAACCGCCTGAGTTCGGATTTGTCTCCCCAGAACTTTTGGAATGCAGCAGCGGCTTCTTTATCCTCAGCTGAAGGGCCGTGGTCAACTATCCGGTTACAATGTTCAGCATCAAGCAATAAACCTAAGGTGATTGATGGTCCATTTTCCTTGGTGGAAGGGCGGGCACCCAGCTCAACGGGCCAGGCAGGGGTGTCTGGAATGGAAAGATTGATGAGTTTAGCTCTGTCGCCCAAGGCCTTTAACAGGGTTTTGTAGATAGACGATTGGTATTTAACCATGCGAAGAGTTGACGAGAGAGCAGTTTGCGGAGATATAGAGATAAGATGGTCAAATCTGCAGAGAGGATCATCAACTTTGAGAATGAAAACTCCGTTAAAATTGTCGCAAAGAGAGTCGTTTAACATTTTCAGCGTCGTAAGAGATTCGTGGCGTAGTAGGGCGTAGGACCAGGAGGACATTTTATAAAGGATGTTCACGCCTCTTTTTCCATCAAAGAAAACGGGCACGTCAGATGGTGGGAGCTTCGAGATCCCAGCTGCATCCAACATGAATGGTTGGGTAAGATTCTTGCCAGAAAGGAACTGAATTGTTGCCCTGAAGATTTGATAGCTGCTGTAACTCGGGGAGAGAAGCGGTTTCCCATTAGGACCGCCTCCTTCAAGAAGCAAAGCCACGACAGTCGCCCACTCAAAATGGCCGAAACCACCTTGTGTAAAGGAGGTTCCAAAGCCTCTCTGCTGAAGCCAAATTCGTCCGAGGATACATGCGTCCGGATAGGCTGGACACTTGACACTTGCCGCATATTGAAGTCTCAAGAAGCCCGAAACAGATGCCTCAGATCGAATAGCAGCGTTGTATATTGGGGTAGGGGCATGGTCCACTGCCTGAGTAGAATCTTGTTGTTGAGCGTGATCCGCATTTTTCTTTCGAATGTTGTTGCTGGTGGGAACAGTGACGGAGGTCGGGAAAATATCCTCCTCGATGGCAGTGAGGATGCGGATGCGGGATTTGGAGCGGATGAAGGCTTCATCGGCACCCTCTGTGGGTTCCACCAGAATAACAGGACGCAGTGTATCCCCATCTTGGTAACTCCAGCTTATCTTAAAACCTGGCTCCGCGGCTTCTTTAATCCCTGCTGCAATGCATGCTATGTAGTATGCACGTTTATGGAAGTATCGATAATTGAGGTAATCCTTCTTTTGGAACAGGGAACGCGGGATAGTGACAGCGAGATCAATTGTTGTAAGCTTCGATTTTATTTCGGTCTTGACTGCAAAGCTCCCAACGACGTTGATATTCGCAGGTGCGGCATATTCCAGTGTATACTTTGTATCCTTCGCAGGACGTGGGTCTGGGAATGGAGCAATAACCCCCGATCGCTTTCGCAGCTCCTTCTCCGCCTCAGACACGGTTTTGGGAGGGATAGCTGGTATGTTTTCGATTATGCTTTTCAGCTTCCGCAACGGCTTTTCGACTCGGGAATGTAGCTTGCCATGGTCTGGCCGGAGTTGCGAGAGCAATTCATCCACCTGCAACTTGAAGACATTGGACTTGAACACTCCGCTGGCAACGGCAAGCTCAGCTGTAGGGGCATCCGATCGCGACCGGCTTTCCATCCATTTGGTTCCATTTCTGGTAGGTTGTTGAGCTCCATCCCCAATACTTAGCTTTCTTCGTTTTGCGCTGATTTCTGCCATTGCGAAGGCGCGAGACCGTGAATTGAGACTGGAATTAAAAGTAGAAAAGGGCCAATGGCAGGCAAATGGCGCTTGAACTGGAGTCTCAGCAAAAATGCCTTTGTGGCCTACCGTCGTTATGGCGGTTCCTGAAAAGCCTCAAATTTCGAAGCTTTTGCGGCCTGTTGTTGCTGGAGACGTTTTGAAGCTTCAACTTTTTTTCTTTTTTGCGGTTGGAGAATGAAGTAGTGTATTTTATTGGTGTATCGGTATTGTAATACGCAGGTCTAGCTGTTGTAAATATTGGCCGTATAGTGCGCATTTTTGCTAGATGAATATACCTAGTTATTTGAAGAAAATAGAAAATACAATAGCTGACCCTTGTTAAGCATGTAATTGATTTGGAAAAGACTTGCAAGACGCCGCTTGCTAAAAAATGTGTATAAATTGGCCATGGGATCGGATCCCCGGTGATTTGGCAGCGTAATAAATGTCGTCTCGCCAATACGGCCATGGTTGGCGCTGACTCTTATCAACAACCCTCTCTTGTTCTTTTTCTTGCCCCTCACTCTTCATGTATCTTTTTCTTTATTATTATTAACTCTGCAGCAACAGTTCTGTCAGGTGGCTTATACAACTTATACAGCATACACTCGCTCCTGTTGTACTGGCGACAATGCTCAGGATTTGCCTTTGAATCTCTTCTTGAATTGCGCTTTCCCAGTTTCAGCACGTCTATCATACAGCCTAATATATAAGTTATATATCTATTGTCCCGCAAGATGTTCAAGCAGCTACCAGTAGGAGGATCTGTCCCTCCAGAAACTGACCATGTATGTTTGTATAAAGAATACGTGAAGCTATATGATCCAATGGCCTGAATTTATCTATCTACTATTATTTCAGAAGACTTTCAGTCATGGATTCCCTCCTGTTCTGTGTTGTGTGCCTTCAGAATGAGTCATTTTTATATGTGCTCTAGTTGGTTGGGTGCAAACAAGAGGACAGTCAAATCACACTTGATAAATAGAAAAAATATGAAATCCCCATCTTCTACTCTGATTACCCAAAATGCAGTTCTAGTTCTATGCTAACATAACAAATCTAGGCTGTGAGTGTCTCGCTCCCAACATGGAGAGCAAACGTGGGGTACGAAGAAGGGGAAAAATGGGTAACTGATGCCATGGAAAGTGGCTACCCACGCTTCTTCATCCACAAGAGCATCCAGGCGTTAGTTGCGGAAGTCGTCCGTCGCTTTGGTACGCCGGGGGAGGATTCTGCTACGTTATTCCCGTCTCGTAAGACTGCAGAACGGTGTTACCAGTTCATGGCTTCACGGTTACCAGCTGAGGAGGCGCAGAAGGTTCACATTATTAGTCTTCAACCGTCAAAGCAGAGAGAACCCCGCGCAGATGAGGGCGGTGTTGCTAAAGTGGATCTGAATATCACATCACCGCTGTTTTGTGTATTATACCCGGCTGCACACAGGAGCGTTGCAAAGGAGGTATGGCAACACACTGGTGACGGGATATCGAGCCGGCGAAGTGAATTCTGTCTAAAGGCGCTTGAAGATGGATATTTGATTGAAGAGAGCCTGCAGGCGCAACGAGACGAACGTACTATTCAACGGCCCAAAAAGGGCCCTAAGCGCTATCAGCGGAACGGGTCCATGGGCAACATTAGCAAGGACTCGACGCCGTCGCAGCCGCAAACGAAACCGCAAAAAAGCGAAATCCCCTCTTCGAAGGAGTTTGACATGTTCATCGAAGAGCGATTTGGCCGTAACTTGAGCGCTGCACATGCCAATAATGCCAAGCTCGCTGTTCGAAGGCGGATTGCGGGCTCGCTGACTTGCGATGGTGAGCTCAGCGAAGCGCTGCAGTCCGCGTCGTCAGATGGACGAATTGCTGGGTTGACGGAGCAACACGTCTTCCTCTATCCTACGGGCATGAGTGCGATCTTCAACTCCCATCGTATGCTAATGGCTGCCCGGTCCCCGATGAAGAGCATTTGCTTCGGCTTCCCTTATGTCGATACGCTGAAGATATTACAGAAATGGGGCCCTGGTGTTCAATTTTACGGGCATGCGTCATCCGAGGAGCTAGATGATCTTCAGAAACGATTGGAATCAGGGGAGCGGTTCCTGGCGCTCTTCACCGAATTCCCTGGGAATCCGCTGCTGATGGCGCCTGATCTCGAGCGCATTCGAAATCTAGCGACGAAATATGACTTCGCGGTGGTTGTGGATGAGTCTGTGGGCAACTTCATCAACGTCAATGTTCTCCCCTATGCCGATGTGGTTGTGAGCAGCTTGACGAAGGTTTTCAGTGGAGACAGCAATGTCATGGGGGGCAGTGCTGTGTTTAATCCGCATGGACAATATTACCAGAAGTTGAAGACGGTGCTTGAGGCAGAGTACGAAGATAACTACTGGGGTGAAGACGCTATTTTCCTCGAGAGAAACAGCCGCGATTTCGTATCGAGGATTGAGCGCATTAATGCTGCTACAGAGGAAATCACTGCACAGTTAAAAGCGTCGCCTTTGAGTATGTACTGCTTCGAAGATACCTAGCGAGATTTCAACCTATGGAGAACAAAATGGAGCATATGCAGTTTACTAACAGCTATTTCAACAGTCAAGGATATATTCTACCCAAAATACAACCCAACTCGACCGTTCTACGACAAATGCAAGAACCCCAACGGAGGGTACGGGGGTTTGTTCTCCATAACATTCCATTCGAAAGAACAGGCGGTTGCCTTTTACGACTCCTTTGAAGTCATGAAAGGTCCTAGCTTGGGAACGAACTTTACCCTCAGGTATTTTCCATTCCGTACCTCTGGAAAAAGTACTATACTAACATGGAACCTCCTCCAAAAAGTTCCCCTTATGTTATCCTAGCCCATTACGGTGAATTGGAATGGGTGAGTCATTTTCATCTACCCCTTTTCACATTAGTTACCTCTTTACTTCTGGATCTCTTCAAGCAACCAAAAACAAGCCACTCACATACACCCTTCAGGCAAATTCACTAGGCGTCCCGACAGAGTTAATAAGAACGAGCATCGGGCTGGAGGACCCCACAGACTTGCGGGCTCGTGTCGAGCGTGCCCTTGCAGCGGCAGCGCAGGTGTCGAGGGAGTCATGAAATAATATAGTGGATTGCTACGTATGACCTCTCCTAGGATTTTCTTGCATTTATGAGTGGGAAAGTGGGAGGCCAGGGGAAGAGACAGGAGCTGAAGCATGTCAGGGGAAAGGAGTCCTACACGAAATGGAGTGATTTTCTCTTCTTCTTTTCCTATCGCCCTGAACTCCTCTCCTCCGAACACGACAGTTGTCGCTCGTCTGGGTAGGATCAGGCGCGGTTTCATGCAGTACATATCCTCGGTCAGATTTTGTTTTACTATCGTGGAAGGCGAATATGTCTAGGTATATATATATAGTCTAAGGGGCTTTCTTGGAAAGATGGGCAACTGAGGACGACTCAACTCGACTCGTATATTGGATAGAATCATGAGTGGTATATACATCACCAATTGTGAGTGTTTTCCGTTCCTTTAATTACCCCCCTTTTTCCCCTTCCACAAAAATCAACCAAGTAGGAGGGGGATTAAAGATGGGAAAGAGAATGGAAAGATAAAATACAATTTCCTAGGTTTAGAGGGATTACTAGGAAATAGGAGCACTAGGACATAATTTCAACAATATTTAAATGTTATGATGCATGGCATCGGATCCGCGATATTCTCGATAACCGCTTTGATTTCGATCTGTCGGATTTCATATTGTTCACGGTCAAGATGATAGCGTAATGATAGTAACCGTAACTGGTGATAATAATATGTGCTATACTATAGTTACTGAGATGGCGAGGGCTCCTAATGCCAGCCAATCAAACCATCGCTTGGTTGACGCGGTGTTTAGTTTCTCCGATCCTTACAAGGAAATTGACTTCTCCAACCTATTATGTATACAAGTCACGACATTCAACATACGCTCTTTATATGCAGCCTTGAAAGATCATTGTACGCTCTGCACAACAGAAAATTAATACCAAAATAGAGCAACTAACGATCAGAAAAAAAACATCCACAAATACAATGCCCATTGATCGAGCGTCATGGAGAAACGTTTGGCTATATGAGGCTTCTACTGGCAATTTACTGGGAGGGACTCATCAAAACGGCTCACTGATAGGAGCGAATCTCTTGTCGATTCTAGATGGAGTTCTTCTTGCCGTCATCGATGATCAGTGGAGTGTGAAGCATCGAAATTCTGGGATTACGATCAGCCAAACAAATGCAGCCCTTCAGCCTCACGAATACGACATTTACTGTCAAAGTAGATCGTCACTTTTTTCACACAAAGCAAACAAACACGGTTACTAAGTGTTGAGTCTCCGTTCAGGCACTGGTCGCTTGAACAATGAACCGTGGGTCGCTCGACTCATTAGTCATAGTGTATCCGGTGAAGTGGATGCATTTCGTGATGGTGTCCGCGCGCGCGATGGAAAGTGTGTGATTTCTGGGATTGTGAACGTTCGTGCTCCGTGGAATACGTGGTCTGGCTTTGAAGCAGCCCATATATTTCCACTGGCCTGTGAAAATGTCTGCATGGAGTTCAATTACGGGCGGTGGATTATAGACATGGACTGCACAACTGGAGTCTCAGGAATCAATTCCATTCAACATGGATTGTTGCTGCGGGCTGTTTTACACTTGGACGTTGATAATTATTTGTTTTCAATCAACCCGGATGTACGCAAGTACCTCTGCAGCAGGACTAAATTTAGCCGCTCACTAACAAACCTATGAGAGGACGGCTATAAAACCACCTATTTTGGTCCAGATCCGTTCGGACTGGATGGCAGGACCCTGGATCCTGTTTGCCGTAACCCACAAGACCCCCATTGTGTCTCTGGTGCACTGTTGCGTTGGCATTTCCGATAGGCAGTTCTAGCGAACATGCGAGGTGCGGGTGAATCAATATTCGAGCATGATTTCCCACCGGGCACGGATGTGTGGGCTGAGTTGCGAAATGAACCTGAACCCTATGGAAAGCGGCGTTCTGAGATGGAGCTGTCTTCCAGACTAAGGAATATTTCACCTAAATCAACCTGACAGAGTAAGAACAGCATACGCTAGCTACAGAAACGCCGAACATAACTTCCCGCATGTAACCACTAATATTTCCGAAGTCTATCATTCGCCTATGCCATGAGCTTTAAAAAAGAAGTAGAATGCAGACACACCGAAATACTGTAGTAGGTAGGTTTTTTCTACCTGCTATTATCGCGTTACAAATGATTGATTTGTCGTGCTGACTGTCCGATAACATATTTCGGACACAGTCCTGAACCCTCTTTTGAGGCGCCCCGTTACGTTATGGTTGCAGGGCTGGATAGGTCAGCAGAACGGTTTTATACCGGTATCGGTCGTCGTACTCGGTAGGTCTGGGTTCTAGCAAACCTTCGAGTTCGCTTGAAACCCCGTGCGTCTCCCGTCAGCCAATGCAGCCCATCGTCATCCGGACCGTCAAATGGGAGTGCTTCGATATGGGCAGGCTGATGATGCTCCTGAGGACAAAGCCGCGAGGTGACAGAGATATTACGCCTAGCCTGCTGGGAAGACGTTGCGTTGCCTGGAGAAGAGACCCTGGTGAAATCCCTTTTTCTGAAACCTCTCGCACGGGAGGCTGGTCAAGATTATGTATATTTCCTCTCAGAAAGAGTTCCATTCCCAGGCCTGGTCTGTTTCTTTCTATTCAGCGAGTGTCGGAGCCATAATGATTGCTGCTGTACATGGTAAATCAAACTTTCGTTCACCGTTGTTCCGTTCTGAACCAACAACATTTGACAAGATTCGCAAAATTTTGTACCGGATCTTTTCCCTTCACTTGGAGGATCACCGTTTTCATCGATGATCGAGCGAAGGATACCAGCCACGGGATTGCTGCATCTGAATAGGAATTGGAATTGAACCGTCCAACACAAAGAAAGTGCCGCTGCTCTGGCCAACAAGCTTTCAGCGGTCAAGAGAACTGGTGGAAGAGAAGAAGGTTAAACAAAGCTAAGGTAGTTATTGTAGGTACATTACATGTACATATATGAGGCGCATCGGGGCATCATGGCCTGGAAAAGCCATGATGTGGACCCACTAGTGCATGAGCTCCGAACTCCTATATCCCTTATTTCTATGGAATCCCGATAGGCCGATGGGAGTCGAGGATGGATTTACCTTACAAATATAGGGGATCTTTCCCCAGTTGAATCCTCCAAAAACCTGTCCATATATACCGTACGATACACGCGCTTTTGCCTGTTTACATACGCGTAATCACTCAGAACCTTCTTTAATCACGTTTAGAGCCTAGGGCAGAAGCTCTGCCCGCTACTACCCCGCTTCAGCTCCGAGCGACTGATCACTGCTATATTATTCGAGGTTAGGTAGCCTTCTAGAAACTATGATCTGGCATAAACCTCCAGATTCTAGTCAGAGGCTTCACACAATGGTGGCACCCCTTCTCCAAGCAGCGTTATTTTGATCTAGGTCAACACCTCAGCTTATAGACGGATCACTCCGTGGCTACTACTATTTTGCACTAACGCACTCCCTAATGTTTCCATGAAGCTCAAGCATGTTGCTATTCGCCAAATGGCTACTTCAGTGTATTCAAGAGTGTGCACTGGTGGCCCTGATGTCAACTTGAATCAGCACAAAAGATAGTCCAGCTGATGGACTAACCAAGCCCCTTGGACTGCAGAAATACCAGCGTTTTGTGGAGTTTCTCAAAGGATAAATAAAATAAATAAATAGATAGATAGATATATAGATAGATAGTAGAAAAAAGACGGCTGCTCAATTTAGCTAGCTAGCTTGAACATGATTCCTAAAAGATTTGGAATGCGAAATATATGGTCTTGGGTTAAATTCGAATTTGCAAGGATTTCTCCTGGGGGAATCAGAAAAAAAAAAAAAAAAAAGATAGAAAGCAAAATAGAAAATCGTAGATGCCAAAGCAAGACAAACAACAGAGATAGTTCGAAGGAACTACGCAAGAGAACTGGAACCAAAGAAGGGCAGAAAGACGTATGCCAAAATAAAAGGGAAAGAAAGAAAGAAAAAGAAACAAACGAAATAAACCTCCCAGAATGTTCTGCTTATCATGAAGAAAGGCTATGGGAAAATTACAGCAAAGTCAGTGTTACAAATTTCCCGAAAACCAATACGTCGGAAATGAAAAGGTAAGAGACAACTCCTATCTACCCACCTCTTGATTAAAATCGTTGAATAAAAAGAGAAGCAAAAGTAGTAAGAGATGAGACCAGAAAAATATGGGAAAAAGGACCAAAAAAATACAAACCAAATATACAAAGGAGCATCATCCCTCTTAACGTGTGGGTGGGTGAGAGGATATGACTACTTGAAGGGACGATCATATGTCCCATCGTCGTTCCCAACGGCACTCATGGGTTGACTGCGGAATCCACCAAAATCGCCGGAACCAGTCCGTCGGAGAGCCTGCCGCATGGTTTCAACATTCAACTCACCACCAAAAGTGCCAGGAGGGGGACTATGGCCGCAGAGCCGGGGGCTCCCGGCCACCCAACCCCCGCGATTAGGAGAGTTATCCAACCCCTTTGTAGAAGGCGATACGCTTGTTGGCGGCGATGTACCGAAACCGTGGGACGAGACCGGAGAGCGTACTGGAGATGGAGAGCGGTTCTGCGCAGCGAACAAGGCAGCGTTAGTCGAGAGACCCGCCATGTACATAGAATCGCGGTTTGAAGCATGGTCTGTTTCAGCATGTTCGCCGTTGACAACGTCAGCGAATGATACGAAGCTTAGGCGCCTGATGTCAGATGGGTCCAACCCGCCGTAATTTGAAACCGAATCTTCCGCGTCAGGGGGTAAATGTGGGTTGAGATCTTCATGCCAAGACGACGTCACTGCCTGTTCAGGTTGGCCGCCAGTCACGCTGAGCGAGGCAGGCTGGTGGAAGTTATGAGTGATGATTTCAACAGAGTCTGGATCGAGACGCTCGTCGGTCAAAGCAGCAGATGAGGCGCCAAGGATTGGGGGGATGTGGTTTTCTGTCATGATATGTGAGGGTATAGATGGGGAAGCTTGGGCTGGTGCGAAATCTTCCTGGACACTCCGTTCGAAAATTTGCGAGGAAGCAGGCGAGTGAAGGCGAGGAGAAGCAGAACGGAATCCGCGATTAGGAGATGATGGAGACATGTAGGGATTTCTCGCACGATGTGGAGATGCAGATGGTTGAGTAGAGCTGAGAGAATTTAGAGGGGAAACAGGTCGCATGGTGGTTATGGGATTTGGGATGTTGGATGGCCGCTGTTGCGATTCGCTTTTGTCAACTGCGCTGGATTCGACAGACTTCTTAGATTTGAGTCGCCATTCATTATTTTCTTCGCTATTCGTTGTGTCCGACTTCTTTGCCTCTGTCGAATGAATGCCTGGTTTGGTATGTTGATGTTGTTCCTCCTGCTGTAACTCTTGCTGCGGTTCAGATACAGATGGAGTTGCTGGGATCTCGTTGACAGGAGCGGTAACATGTGGTTTCGTGAAATCCGACGTCTTGTCGGCTGAAGAATTTACAGCTGCCATGACTGCTTGGTGGGTCGAAGGGAGGGAAGATTCGAGTTATAATATTATTATGAAGGAATCCGATCAAAAAATAGAGTCCACCTTAGACTTTGAGCAAAAGGGAAAATTCCGATAAAGAGTCTCGGGCTGGGCGAGTTAGAAGACAAAGTGCAGCTGAGTGTGATTAGGTTGGGAGAAAGTTCCCCACTCCAGCGGCAGACCAAGGGGGAAAATCGGTGCTTTATCCGAAGATACAAGATAAGGAGGGTAGTTGAAAAGGGACAGTGTGGAATATATATATATATATATATAAGGATGTTGTCTGTAGGCAGAGAGATATTTTAAGAAGAGGCAAAAAACGGGAGTTGGTGGCTTGGACGAGAGCCTTGGTGCCCTGTAAGCTGGGGGGTGTTGGAGTTGGTGAGACAGTTCGGAATAATAGAGGTGGTGGTCGGACTCAGCAACAAGAGCGTTGGGGGCTTGGTATCGAGTACATCAACGACGTCATGTTAGGTTAGGCGAGGTGGCAGGCAGGCTACATGGATGGGATGGGAGAGCGGGAATAAGGGAGGAAACTCGACGGACGATGTGGAGAAAGAGGATGAGACGGATACGTATGGGCATGAGAATGAAAGAGTGAGAAAGGAGATGGAGATGGAGATCGAAGTTGTGGAAGATGAAGATGAAGATGAAGATGAAGTTGAAGCTGAAGTTGGAGCTGGAAAAAGTTGAAGTTGAAGCGCGACAAGTTGCGGCTGACACAGTTACCGCTTGCCTGTAACGGGGCTGTACTGTACTGTACTGCGTTACGGTATATTACTAGTAACACAGCGACTCAAGGGCTGACAACGCAAGATACGGTATTGTAACATTAACAACTTTGCTCTAGGAACCAAAAAGTCCCCAACGAAGAGCGACAGAATGACAATGCTATTCTTACGTATGCAAACAAATATAAATTTTAATATGCTATTTTATTATTGCTTCTATGTATGTGCTCTCCGTACCTAATTCCGGGAAACCAAAAATAATTACAGTGTCAATGAGTGTTGGTTGGCGGGATTACTCGTCGGAATAACCACCATACGGGAAGAACATAGGGTTAATTTACGGTGATTACACTGTGGATCCACCATTCCACCCATGTCATGTGTCACTGATTGTAACACATGTTCCATTATTATATTCAGTGACACATCACTGAATATTAAATGTCAAGATGATATTAAGATGACATAGAACTTTTTAATATTATCATGATACTACTCAGTAACTGTATAATTAATAGATATTATTATCAGAATATTACTAAGATATTATAAGATACTGTATACTATTCTGTCAGTGAAATTAATATATTATTAAACTAATTATCTATTACTCAGCTACTATTTATTAACTATTTATTTAAAGAAATAAGATATCTTAATTATAATATAAATATCTTATTATCTAAAACTTATATACTAAATAATTATTATTTTTATTACTATTCTGTATTAGAATATTATATAATACTGTCTTATTATTATTATTATTATTATTCTTCAATTATAGATGTATGCAGTCAGAGACTATGACATCTACCTGAGAACTTTAGTTCTCAGGGTTTTTTCTATGTCTGTAAAGTTAACTATTATACATTCATCAATTTCAGATATACAAAATCAAAAAATTCCAGCTCAGAATACAAAAACTGTTTACAAATTGCAGTGTTTTAATATCTTTTGATACTTTGAAATCATTTGACAATATCATGATAAAAGAAAAGAGAAAAAGAACACAGTCTCAAAGATAGACATATTAAATAGATAGATAGAAAGAAATTGAAAGAAAAAGATAAAGAAAAAGATAAAGTAAAGAGAGACTATAATAAAATAAATTATTAAAAGAGAGTATATAGCTGTTTTAACAGACTATATCTGATTGATTTTCTCCTCTTTATATTCAGATAATTCTGAATTTAGTCATTTTCTTATAGCTGCTTGAGTTTCTGATAGAAAGTCTATTAAGTATTTAATTCCTGTCTCAGTTGAGAATAAGAATCTTATATTTAATTAATTTAGATCATACTTCTCTTTCAATCTGACTCTGAGACTATTGTATAATGCACAGTGCATTACAATATACTCAGAATTCTCATTTATATTACAGAATAAGCATTCTATTGAGTTAAATCTATCATCAAATCTTTATATATAAGATTTGAAATAGTCATATTCTAGTTTCAGCTATATTATAGATGAGAATATTTTCTTTTTATATTTAATTAAACAAGATTTTCACTTGGATTTTATTTTAAATCTTGAATAATGTATACTCTTCTTTTATTTCTATCAGCTTTTATTTCACTTATCTAAATAAGATTCTTTTATTTTTCTCTTTATAAAAGATCAGAACATAATTTTTTAAATAGATCTACTTAATTCTGCACTCTTTTTTACAGCTGAATCAGTCAATTTATTATCATGAATATTTATATAAGCAGAAACTTAGTATAGATGAATTATCAGCTTTAATATTCTTCTCTTTTGAATTTTCAAAACAGAGTTTAAGATCAGTTCAAGATTCATTTAATTATTATGAATCTGACTATTTCTAAGTCTTTTTAAAGCAGCTTAACTATTAGAGAATATTCATATCTCTTTTAAACAATTTCCTCTTTTATAAGATTTTATTTCAATAAGTTTGAAAGCTTTCACTATTATAAATAGTTCAGCATCAAAGACTTCACATTCAGAGCCTAGATTTCAGAAATCTGAGATAAAATTAATATTATCTTCAGTATAAGCAATGTCTGTGTCTAATCTATTCAAGTTCTCATTTTTTAAGTCATCTGAATAAATCAGAATAGAGTCTTTTATATTAATTGTAGAAATTCTCTTCAAATACTATTTATATTCTTTCTCTTTTGATAGTTCACTTATTTATAAGTCTATAAGAGATTCAAGCTTTTCTCTTCAGAGAGATAACTTCTCATGATCAACTTTTTCAATATTTAAAGAAGAAAATTGATTTTTAATCAGAGAGTATAGTCTGTACAGTTAAGAAGACATTTTCTTTAAAGAATTATTTTCATTTCAATCAAGAAATCTATTTCAATTCAGTTCATTTTCAGAGTTAATTAATGAAAATGAAGAAGAGACTCTTTCTCTGATTATATGATTTGAGCTCATCTTTACAACTCTCAGAGTATAGTTTATACAGACCTTTTCAAATCTAATAGCAGAAGAAGAAATTGAAGCTTTAATTTTCATTGCTTTAATAGAAGATGATTTGAATGCTCTCAGAATTCTTCTCAAGACTCTGTTTTACAGACTTTGAAAGAGTTCAGTGAAATTCTCTTGATTATTTCATTAAACTTGAACTTCATAATCAGCTACTGATGTAATACAGGCTATATATAACTGTCTCATAGTCTGAAAGAATAGATCTCTCTCTGTATTTGATAGTCTGATTATGTTGTTCAATAGTCTTTCTGTCTTAACAGTTCTTTGTTGAATGTGATATTTAAAATTCAACTTGAAGTTTAATCATACTTTTAATCATTTGATATTTACACTGGGTTTAATCTCTCTATTTAAAAGAGTTAGAGATAGTTCTTTCTCATTGAATCTAGAAAAGAAATGAATTAACTCAGTTTTATTCATATTAAATTGAATTTAATTAATATCTACTCTAACAAAGATTTTCTTTACAGCTTCTTCAATTACTTTCAAATTCTCTTTAATAGTTTTTGAGCTGTAGACTAGATCAATATCATCTATATAACTCAGAGATTGCACTATTCTCATATTTCTATTTTTGAATAGATATATAGTGTATATTACAAATAAAATGAGTGAGATTGAAGATCTCTGTGATACTTCTATTTTTATCTCAGTCTTGTCTTATTTCATTCCATTAAAGAAGAGTTATATAATTCTTTTAGATATAAAATAGTTAACTTATTTTATTAGAGAAAGTGACAGTTTTAATATCTTCAATGTCTGAATTAACTTTGACTTTGAAACATGATCAAATGCTTCTTTTATATTAATAAAAACTGCAGTTGAGACCAGACTCTCATGCTTTGTTATTTAAATATTATAAATAACTGAGAGAACAGTGTCAATTGCAGAACACTGTTTTCTATCTCTCATTTATTCACTGAATAAAAGAGAATCATCTATAGAGCTTATAAAAGATAGTTGAGTAGCTATTATCTTTTCTAAAATCTTTCCTAGACAGTTCAATAGAGATATTACTCTATATAACTTAGAAATTGAAGTTTTTCTATTAGGTTTTATAAGAATCACTTCAGTGACTTCTCTTCAGCATTCAGAATAATATTCATTTTTCAAGAGATTGAAAAAGAGCTCAAAATATTCATTCTTTAAGTAGGAATATGTATTTTAAATAATCAAGTGATTAATTGAATCAGAACCTGCAGCAGTTTTAACAGAACTTGAGAAGATAGCTGACTCTAATTCATCTTGTGTAAGATCAGACCATTCTCAGTCATTTTCATTAATATAGTTAAGAAGTGATATATTCTCTTTCTCTGAATCTGAATCTGAATCTGATGAGTTCTGAAAGAGAATTCTTATAAAAGCTTGACATTTTTTCTCAAAAGAGTTTACTGTATATGATTCATTCTGAAACTCATATTCTAAGACTGAAAGTTTTGCTACACTTCTTGTTTTAGTATAGTTAAAAGCTTTAAAAACTTTCTTTTCTTATGCTTCTTCAAGAAATTTATTCCAGTAGTCTGTTTTAGCTCTTTTAATATCTGAAAAATATTCATTTCTGACAGTTTTGAACTCTTTATCAGATATTATATCATTCTTTCAATCTCTTCTAGCAGTAGCTAATTCTTTTCTTTTAGATGAGATATTCTCATTTCATCAAGATTTTGAATACTCAGAAGATTTTCTTTTTGAAATATTATCTCTAACACTTGTTAGAATAATAGATGTAATAAACTTCACTCTATTCTCAAGTATTTCATTTGAGATATCTTAATCAGAATTTCAATATAGCTCATTCTGTCTTTCAGATTTTAATAGTTTTATGCTTTCTTCAACTGCTTTTCAATCAGCTTTTTCAAAGTTATATTGATTAGAGAGAAGAGAATTTTCACTTATTTATTTTTCACTCAGTTCAATATTAAATTGAATAATCTCATGATCTGATTCTAATGTCTCATTTAAATTAATAAATCAGTTTATAAGTCTTCTTTTCATTAAATTTTATAATATAAAGATTAGATCTATAATAGACTTCTATTTCATATCTTTTCTAAAGAATGTTTGTTGATCAGACTTATTAACTAAATCTATTGAATGCTCAAAAATTCATTTAATCAGATTATCAGCTCTCACTGCTCTCTTACATTCTGAATTTCATTAGAGATGATATGCATTAAAATCTTCTATAATTATAGAGTTTCTTGATAAAGTTATGTTCAGAAATTCTCTATCAATTGTTCAGATATTATTATTTTTCTTTAATGACTTTTCATTATAGATATTTATAAGCTGTATAGTATCAAACTCATTTTCTTTATCTATAATATCACTCATCAGAATATCAGGGTCAGATATGATATTAAATCTTAGATTAAATTGATATCTTGATCTCTTTCTTTCATAGATCACTACTCTTGACTTTATCTCAGACTTTTGAGATAAAAAGCAGTAGTAGCTTGAATGAGAAATGACATATTTTTACTCAGTATCAAAATTCAGCTTCTGAAGCAGTATAAAATCAACTTTTTATTCAAATACAATTTGAAGATAAGAATAAATATAATTTAAGTTTCTATTCACAT